GAACGCGCCCTGTCGTACGCTCCTTGAGCTACGTCCTTGTCTTAGCCTGACCCCGTACTGTCAGCGATATCGTAGTGAATATACTGATCACGTGCACCTACCTTCCCTGCCTACCAACCCCGTGACAATAGTTAGCTTAAATAGTTTATCTCTTATATAGATTATTGACTCGTTATTCTACTATTTATAGAATAGGTATTATCTATTCTTTAGTTATAACAATAACTCTTTTCTATCTAATTATTCTATATATTACTTTACAAACTACTGCTTTCGTCTACCTCGCCTTAGTACAGACTAAGCTTAGAGAAGTATAGCTAAACCCTGTGTAACACTAAATCTAAGATAGAGTTTAACTTCAACCTCCTCTTAACGATGACAGTAAGTACAGAATGTCGAGTCAGAGTCACTCTATGACTGACACGATCATTAGTCCACTTTGCGGCATCATTTCTCACTTGGCACCGTTACATCATCCATACATATCATCAAGCGTTGGTGACAGAGTGTGGTTATAAAGGAGAGCTTCTGTGAGTACAAATGTTTGAGCTACGTATTGTTACCAGCTTTATCCAGGTACTGGGACTGGACGCTCGACTGGCAAAACCTCTCTGCTGCACCAGTCTGGGATCTCGACCATGGCTTTTCCGGCAACGGCCGCGAAAGCGCGGAACCCAGCGCCTTCTTTCCACATTCGCATTGTATTGAAGACGGTACATTCGCTAATGTCAATGTTTCACTCGCTGGTGCTACATACGCGCCTCACTGTCTGACTCGCGACTTCGGCTCATCTAAGCATGAACCCGTTGCGAGCCTATCGCAGCACCTTCGGCCGAGCGCTTTTGAGGCTCTTATGGAAGAAGACGACTACTATGAATATCTTGTCAAATTTGAAGATGGCGCGCATATCGCGATACCGAAATTTATTATGGGGGATTTTCGATTTTTCACCTCGCCTAATGGTAGGTGCTTCCAATTCTTCTTGACCGTTTTGTTCACGTTCCTGGAAATGGAGAACAGTTTCGCTAATACATTGGTAGATCCAATATCCTTCCTCCATCATGGGCAAATTGACAGGATTTGGTGGCGGTGGCAGCAACATGATTTGCAACGGCGACAATATAGGTACACAGGCAGCTTTAAACCCAGATCGAAAGAGCAAGCAAGTGTCGAGGATATTGTCTCGATTAGAGGTCTGGCTCCGGATATCCAAGCTTCAGAACTCTTGAATGTACGATCGGGTATATTTTGCTATACATACTAGAACAAAAGGCGACTGAATCAGTCAAGCTTACAATTAATTGATTCCTCACAGCTGCATTGCTGCAGCAGCTTTCAGATCGCGGCTGCTAGCTCCAACATGCATCTTGTACTCCCCCTTCACAACCGCCCACTCTTGCGCAACGACATCCCATACACTCAGGTCCCTCCTGCGAAGCTGAAACTGCACCTTCTCGGTCTGACCAGGCTTGACCGTGACCTTCTGGAAGCCGCGCAATTGTTTGACTGGCTCGTCAGCTGCGGCAGGGAACTCGACGTACAGCTGCGCGACTTCCGCGCCGGGGACACGGCCCGTGTTGGTAACGGTGGTGCTTACAGTTGCAACGAGATCCCAGAGATCTTCACGGCCGCCAACAGCGAGTGCACCAGATGCGTAGGTCTCGGATAACTTCTCGGTGTCCGAAGTGACGGTGATGTTAGATGCGTACTCGAAAGTGGTGTAGCTCAATCCAAACCCGAATTCATAACCGACTGTCTTGTTCTGCTGATCAAAGTACTTGTAGTCGATGAAGTTGCCTTCGGTAAAGTCAATCTCGGAAGCTTCGCTGATCTGGAAATTGGAGTCGTAATCAGACTCGTTCTTGGCGAGCGTGTGCACAAGCTTGCCGGAAGGGTTGACGTCGCCAAACAATACTTCGTTGATCGCGTGACCGGAAGATTGACCGAGCGGGCCACCGTATAGGATCGCGGTAACATTCTCATGGTCGTTCCACTGGGAAAGTAGGCGCGGACCGACAGTATTGACAACCACGATAGTGTTGTTGCAGTTGTCCGCCACATAGTTGACTAGATGATCTTGCTCCGCATTTGCAAGCTCACTCCTGTCACCTCCTTCACCAGCCCAAGCGTTGATGAAGACGATGCAGGCATCAGAGCCGTCTGCCATACCAAGAGTGGTTTCCTGAATCTCCGTACCAGCACCATCGCTGATTATCATACCTCCACCTGAGCTCTCAACGACTGTGTTGTTCAACCACCACTTGAGCATGAAACCATCTGATTCGGCTCGTTCGTTGAAAGCCTGGAAAGGAGTGACCAGAAACGCGTTCGAAGACATTGCACTACCACCATTCTGGGTCATGTGTCCCTCCATGGTATCGGCCACACCAGACTGAACGGTGAGAGCAGTGTTTGGTCCGACGTTGCGTGGAGCGGCATGACTGCCAAAGATGGATATGACACGCTGAGCTTTGGTAAGTGGAAGAGCACCATCAGTGTTCTTCAAAAGCACCAATGATTCCGCCGCATATTTGCGTGCCAATTCGCCATGTTTGCCACGCACATCGACACGATCTGTATAGCCTGCATGTGTCGGGTAGTTAATGTTTTGCTCTTGGCGAAAATAACCGATGAGGTTACGGATGACCATATCGTTTAGACGATCTTCGGTGAAGGTCCCATTGGCTATTCCAGCAATGAGAGTGGCATTACTCCAGTAGGACGAAGAACCGTAGTCAAGCCCGGCATTTGCGGAGTCAACACCTGTTTTCTGAGCGCCTGCATCTGGGTTGACAAAGCCAGGGAAGCCCATCTCAGTTTTGAGAAGCCTTGAAAGTGTGTCCTGGTTCTCGCATCCGTAAGTGCCGTTGATACGGTTCATTGCGCACATGACAGCACCAACACCGTTCTTGACTGTATCGTAAAATGGTGCGAGGTAGGTCTCGTGGAGAGCTTTGTCGTCGACTACAACACTATAGGCTTCGGAGGAAGCTGCCGTGGAGTTGTCCGCGAGGTCCTGGCGACGTCGCATGCTGGGGGGTGCGCCACCAGCGTCACCATCCGTGGAGTTGCCTCCGGGGCCACCAACGCCTCCAGCCATTCCACCTCCCATACTGTTCGAGCCTTGACGATTGGTCTCCTGCTCATTCAATACGTAGTGCTTCGCACCAGGAATAACACCACTAGCCAACATTCCTTTGGCTAATGCGCCGCCCATAATGCCAGAGAAATAAGAGTCAGGGCCATAACTTTCACCGCCTCGTCCATCCCAGGGCGAACGTCCAAGAGGCTGTACAGTGGGAGCATAACCGACATTGACTCCCTTTCCCTTGAATTCTGCCCCCAACGCTTGACCTTGGCCCTCGAGTATGGCTTTGTCCCAGGTCATGGCCATTGCAATGCCTGCTGGCCAAGCGGTAACATAGTAGTAATTGATGGGGTTGGCGGATGAATCGAGGATCTCAAGACCGGAGAAGTTGCCAGCACTACCTCCGGTGATTATGGAGAGCTTGTCGGAGGAACTGAGGGTATCAACGAATGCGGAAGCCTTATCGTAGGCACTCTGCCAGCTACCGAGCTTGACTGGAGCACATCATCAGTAGATATCGAGGATAGTTGGAGGAGCACGTACTGGTACCAGAGCTAAGTCTAGCTTCAGTGTAGTTCGAAGAGACGGCAGCTTCAGCAGCACCGAAAAAGATAGCAGCAAGAAGCCAAAGATCGATCTTCATGGTCATGGTAAGGTGCTTTCCTGTGTCTTGAGCGATACAAGGTGTTCAAAACCAAGATTGAAGAACAGAGGGATGAGAAAAAGAGAGTATGGCAATAAGCGAATGTAAGAGACGAGCGGATGATTGGCAATGTGGTAAGAAAGGCTCAAGAACTGAGCGCCGTCTACCATCTTAAGCAACATCGTCAAATTTGCATCGCAACTGTAGGACAAGCTTCATGGCGCATTCACGCTTTCCGGCTAAAGGCTTATCAACGTGCTGACGAGTGCTACGACAGCTTGGCTAGGTTTTCCGTGCATTGCGGAGTATCCGATACCGAAAAAGCTAGTCGACTAGGACGAGGCCTTTCCAGGTCCCATAATGGTAGGACATCTCTAAATTGATGCCTCGATGTTGTTGGATTAGCGTTGTGGCGCCGCGTATGCATCGTTGCGAATGCTTGGCCCGTGCTCAGATGAAGATTAAGGCTAGTATCGCTCACCAATCACGGATGACATTCAACACCAGGACCTCGTCATCACTGGATGAGCAATTACGTGGTGACAGACGGGGTTCTCAGGATTCCATGCGGCATTGGCGATATGGAAGTTGCTAGTTGTTGAGCGGAAGTGCCAAGATCGCGGTGTACATTATATACCATCTGATGTACAGTCAGGAAAACACGAGAAGCTGGGACGCGCTTATAGAACGCCAGACATACCTTTACGCGTTTAAATACGCGTTCTCTAATGGGCAGAGACGAATGTCGGGCTTGCGTATCGCGGGCAGGAAGACACGCACGAGGGTCGCGAGCCCAGCCTCCACTCCGCATGCCAGACCTGATCTAGACGTGGCAATGTCCGCCGTAACTTACATGGCGTTGTCGTGAATCATGCCCCTAAGCGCAGTGACGCGGATTAGAGAAAATTCGCAAATTCAGGGTCCACAGGCACAAAAGCGACCAGAAATACAGAAGAACATGTTTCGGTTGATGGTTCTAATGGTAACATATTCGAAATCAACGCTTTTGCACATGAGGATGAAGTGAGATGTTGGTGTTCTCGCGGTCAAAGCCGATGAATGCGCGCACGTACCAACGTTTACGTCAAATCGCTTGGCTGTGCGGAACCCAAATCGAGTCCTCAGGTTTGACACACTTCCTGCAACCATATCACAGCTTTTTCTAGACTTGCTCCCGACAAACCTGCTCCTGACTCTCAGATACCTCTTTTCTATCCTTGAGCCTCACCCATCTCCCCAAATCTTGTGATGGTCTCCTCAGCGATTCATAGCGATGACCGTCAATGAGGATGTCATCTTGACCCTGAAGGTGTAGATACCAGTAGAGAACTCCGACGAACAAGCCGCCACCCACAATGTTTCCAAGCAGCGCAGGGGCGATGCCTTTCCCGATGTACATGCCGATGGTGATATCGGGTGAGCCATGGAAGATGGCGTTGGGTATCAGGAACATGTTGGCCACAACGTGATCTGGTACACACAGTCAACTTATTTCTGAGCGTGGGTACAAAGGTACAGTACTTACCGAAGCCTAATGATACGAATGCAAACGTCGGCCACCATATGCCCACCACCTTGGACACGTAGTCCCGACCGGAACACCCAAGGAAGCATGCTAGACACACCAACCAATTCGCGCCGATGCCTTTCAGGAAGATTTGGTACCACTCTGGTTCAACTTGCTTCTTGTAAGCGAAGTGCAACGACTCTTCTCGATATAACTTTCCATCGAATAGTCCACCGTCTACATCAAGTCAGCCTCGCATCTCCCAAATAACGGTTACTATCGGAGACTTACACCCAACAATGACACAACACACAAATAAGCTTCCCGCAAGGTTTCCAAAGAAGGTCACAACCCAGTGTCTCAACATCCGCCATATGCTGAGTCGTCTGTGCAGTGCTGCAACAGTTGTGCACATGAAGCTGCCTGTACACAGGTCGCTTCCTGTCATCTGCACAATGACCAAGCCGTATGGAAACACGAGCGCCGCAATTGTCTTGAGGAGACCTGGTGCATTCTCCTGATACCACGGTGCCGTGTTGGTTGATATGAGCGTTGCGCATGCGAAGGACAGTATCATGCCAGCCGAGCAGGCACTGAGGAAGCTCTTGTCGATACGCATGTACGCCTTCTTGACGCCCATGCGCGAGACGAGCTCGAAGGACTCTTGTGGAGTGTATGCATTGTTCGGTGATTGGTGCATGCTGTAAGCTTGTTGTTGAGTTGGTATCGATGAAAGAGTCGTTGGGACAGCATTAATAGGGGTTGCTGTCCCAGAGGAAGGGGTCGATTGCAGATGCATTGGCAAGAGGGTATGAGGCAGTACTTGTCTTGGTGATGTTGATCTGTGGGCCATATTTGTTGTCGTGGCTGAGGTGATTCGTAAGGAGACGCACGACGAAGCTGCGCAGCAGGACCGAAGCAAAGAGATCAAAGTTTCAACACCGACGATCAAATGGAAGTCTCCATCGAATTAAATACAGTAAGTACCACAAGACCGTCCTGTTTCAACTTTCCGACATGTACCCGCGCGATCCCCAGCACATCTCCGAAAACCGAACTACATACGGATATTCTGTCTTTCAATTTCGTCGCGCCCAAGAAGGAAACTATCGGGCATACCCCCGACTAAGCAACAATGTGTTGCGGCTCTTTCTCGCGCTTTGTTGCGCCCAGGCAGCTTGGCGAGGAACTTTTCGGCCTCATTGACGCTGGTTGAACCGCCAAGGGCTTGGGCCGAGTCGCAAGCGTGCGGTACCGCATTCCATAATTGGAACTTTTTCTCATCGTCGCGATAAGAAACTGTGGTGTTGTTTTCGATTTTGGGACATGACCAAGAGACTGCGCATACTCTGAAGGTACAGAACCGGCGTGGCTGTGCGGTACACGACACTCTATGGGCGGGTGCAGCGAGGTAAAGTAATCACCCTCTTCTCGACTGTCTTTTCACATGTCTATCATAGAAAGGCCGTATAATCACGCTACACTCTTTCTAGCGGACCAAGGGTGCTAGGTACAACGTAAGCAGCAGTTCATAGAGGAGTGGTACGTGTGGCACGAAGCTCGATTCTATGAACTTCTCCAGTTGTAGCAGATGGTTCGCGAATCGCATGCCATGTGTAAATGACTGTGTCCCCTTAGTTGCGCGAATTTATGGCGACAAGACCCTGACTACAATGGACCCAAAGCATAAGGGCCCGTCATAGATTTCCGCCTTCTCCTGCGGGCCATACATCTTACCAAAGTCAAGGTATGCCAATGCTGACATCTTTCGCCGTTCTGTAGTTGGGGGTCCTGCAGTGGTGTCCGTCATCTTGAGATTGCATCTAGTCAAACCTATCAACGGTCGTTTCTCTTAGGCATTAAATTGACCGACTTCAAAGAATTGCCAAGAGTGTTGATGCATGGATCTGAGATATCTTTCGGTGTGTTGAAAGTGGCTGCGCATGCCATTGGCATGAAGAAGAACAAGCGTTGTGACGAGCTTAGACACTCGCATGTAAGTTGTAGAAAGTGTTGATGACGACGTGCGAAGAGCAGCATGGGATCAGCATGGACCATGGCGTTATCGATAAGAGTTAGCGCGAGCTTTACGCGTTCTGAGACGCGCCTCCATCAATTAACGGAAGGCGCGCCCAATCATCTCAGCTTTCACTCTTTCCCTTCACATCACAACCTCACGTCGGTCCTCACAGCATATCGACATGGCATCCCGACCAGAAATCAAGGAGGAGGACGAGTCAGGCTTCTGCAAGTTCTTCCGCAACTTGCCTGACAAAGATGACGAGACGGTGCGCATCTTCGACCGGGGTGACTACTACAGCGCTCATGGCGAAGATGCCAAGTTCATTGCAAACACAGTAAGGGCACATAGCTCGATTGGGGACGAATCACGATACTGACACGTATTCAAGGTTTACAAAACTACAGCCGTCATCCGTAAGCTGGGACGGGAACCGGGCCTGGAATCGGTTACCATGACCATCACCGTTTTCCGCAACTTCCTCCGCGACGCACTCTTCAGACTCAGCAAACGTATCGAGATATGGCAATCTACAGGCAAGCGGATGGACTGGAAGGTGGTCAAGCAGGCCTCACCTGGTAATCTGCAGGACCTAGAAGACGAACTGGGTGGTCAGATCGAGAATGCACCAATAATATTAGCGGTCAAAGTGTCAGCAAAAGCATCAGAAGCGCGCAATGTCGGCGTGTGCTTCGCAGACGCAAGTGTACGAGAGCTTGGCGTCACAGAGTTCCTCGACAACGACCTCTACTCCAACTTCGAATCGCTTCTGATTCAGCTGGGCGTAAAAGAGTGCCTGATACAGGTCGATACATCTAAGAAGGATGTGGAGCTGGGCAAACTTCGGACCATCGCCGACAACTGCGGTTGTGCGGTAGCAGAGCGGTCGGCGACGGACTTTGGCACAAAGGACATCGAACAGGATCTCCCACGGCTACTGAAGGACGAACGGGCAGCTGGCTCGTTGCCATTGACAGACCTAAAGCTAGCTATGGGTTCGGCTGCATGCTTGATCCGGTACCTAGGAGTCATGTCAGACTCTTCAAACTTCGGACAATACCAACTCTACCAACACGACCTCTCACAATACATGAAGCTCGATGCTGCGGCGCTGAAAGCACTCAACCTCATGCCTGGACCACGAGACGGCGCAAAGAACATGAGCTTGTACGGGCTACTCAACCACTGCAAGACACCTACTGGTAGCCGACTACTAGCACAATGGCTGAAGCAACCTCTGATGAATGTCAAGGACATCGAGCGACGGCAGCAGCTGGTTGAGGCCTTCGTCAACGACACTGAGCTGAGACAGACGATGCAAGAAGAACACTTACGTTCAATACCAGATCTGTACCGACTTGCAAAGAAGTTTCAACGCAAGGCCGCAAACTTGGAAGATGTTGTGCGAGCATATCAAGTCGTCATCCGGTTACCAGGCTTTCTCAGCTCCCTTGAAGCGGTCATGGACGAGCAGTACAAGGAGCCGCTCGATGCGGAGTACACAGATAAGCTCCGCCAATACATGACAGCATTCGCAGGACTACAAGACATGGTGGAGACGACAGTGGATCTCGAAGCGCTCGACAACCACGAGTTTATCATCAAACCTGAGTTCGATGAATCGCTGAAGACTATCCGGAAGCGTCTGGATAAGCTCAAGCGCGACATGGAGTCAGAGCATATGCGTGTGGGCGATGACCTCAATCAAGACACTGATAAGAAGCTTTTTCTGGAAAACCACAAGGTCAATGGCTGGTGCTTCCGACTGACTCGTAACGAAGCCGGCTGTATCAGACAAAAGAAGCAATACCAAGAGATCTCGACACAGAAGAACGGTGTCTACTTCACCACCAACACACTACAGGAAAAGCGAAGAGAGTTCGACCAACTCTCCGAAAATTACAACCGCACTCAATCCGGTCTCGTCAATGAAGTCGTCTCAGTAGCATCATCCTACGTCCCCGTCGTCGAGAAACTCGCCGCCGTGCTCGCACACCTCGATGTCATCGTCTCCTTCGCCCACGTCTCTGTTCACGCACCAACCTCCTACGTCAGACCCACAATGCACGCGCGTGGCACTGGCAACACCGTACTGAAAGAAGCACGCCACCCTTGCATGGAGCAGCAAGACGACATATCCTTCATTACAAATGATGTCTCACTCGTACGCGACTCCAGCGAATTCCTGATTATCACTGGTCCCAACATGGGTGGAAAGTCTACATATATCCGCCAGATTGGCGTCATCGCTCTCATGGCACAGATCGGCTGTTTCGTCCCATGTTCAGAAGCCGAGTTGACCATCTTTGACTGTATACTTGCCCGTGTCGGTGCAAGCGACAGCCAGATCAAGGGTGTGTCAACCTTCATGGCCGAGATGTTGGAAACAGCAAACATTCTCAAATCTGCAACAAAAGAGTCGCTCATCATCATCGACGAGCTTGGTCGCGGAACAAGTACGTACGATGGTTTTGGTCTTGCCTGGGCGATTTCCGAATACATCGTGAAGGAAATTGGTGCTTTCGCGTTGTTCGCCACGCATTTCCATGAGTTGACCGCGCTAGTGGACACATATCCACAGGTGCAGAATCTACACGTCGTAGCCCATATCTCAGAAGGCACTGCTCCTGCCAATGGTGATGCAGATGCTGACGTCGACATGGACGCCGCCGCTGTGCAGAAGAAACGCGAAGTTACTCTCCTATACAAAGTCGAACCTGGCTTCTCAGATCAGTCTTTTGGTATCCACGTCGCAGAACTCGTCCGTTTCCCACAAAAGGTCATTAACATGGCGAAGCGGAAGGCAGATGAACTAGAGGATTTTGCAGGTAAACATGAGGAAGGTTACGTGCAAGCGAGTAAGGAGGAGGTGGAGGACGGAAGTCGCATGCTGAAAGAAGTATTGGCGAAGTGGAAGGAAGAGGTACAGAGCAAGGGGCTAACGAAGAAGCAACAAGTAGAGAGGATGAGGGAGCTGGTCAAGGAGAACCCGAAGCTCATGGCGAATGGGTTCTTCAAGGGCATTCAGGCCTTGTGAGTGGCAGGTACATACCTGACCGGCGTTTCGGCATGTAACAACGTTCTTGCACCCAACCTACGGAAGGTTGATCATAACGGTACTTCAATAGTGAGCGTATTTGCACGATACCTGTAATTCATACATATAGCATATTATCGAGGTTCCATGAACATGTGGTTTCCATGCTATTGCACGCTCTTCTGTAAATGATTGTCGTGAAGAGTTAAAAGTTAGACTTGATAAATTAATGCTATACGCTTTTTCTCATCCCCAAGCGCATGGCCATGATAGTGTACCATAGTCCTTGCCTCCAGTACAGACTGCCTGCACTCGGAGGCGCGCATCCGGATGCGGCAGTCCTGGAGCAAGATGTGAAGAGCACTGGATTGTAACTCAGCCAGGCTCGATCAAAAAGAACCAAATTCTCTTCTCTATTTGTTTCATCGCTTCAGCTCAGCAAACCGCTTAGCAAGCTCATCCACATCCGGGATTCTGCCTAGCCCATCCTCCTTCTTTGCCGGCTTCTTCGTATTCGCCTCGCTCTTTGCTACCTTGGCCGCCGCACTTCCTGGTAACTTCAACCTAGGCGCTACATTATCGGTACTGGGACTCGGCGGTACGACGCGCAGCGGACTTTGTGGCCCCAGCTTCTTGGGTGTCGAGGCCTTTGCGAGCGCTTCCCTTTCCTCTGCCTTCTTGCTTGTACTGGAGTCCGCGTCGTCGGTTGGTAAAGGGTTTTCGAGCTCCGCCTTTTCGCCTACACCACCTGATGGCTCATCGTCGTCGTCATCTTCTTCATCCTCACTCTTGGCTGTGCCATACGGTACTCCGTAGAATCTTGCAATCTCCGTCATGTATGCCTCGACCAGCTCCTCCTTCGGTGTCTCAACCTTTAGCTTCTTCATGACCCTTTCTGCCACGCCTTCTCCTTCCATACTGGCCACTGCAACATCCTTTCCGAACTTGTCTACTAACAGTGCCCTGACGGTGTGTAGTTCTTTGATCTCGGTTCGTGGTGCGGCGTATATTATGCTACGGACTGCTTCTTCTAGGGCTGGGTCGAGGAGTGTCGACGTGGAGGCGGATGAGGTGGTGTTTGAAGAGGACACTTGCGATTCGAGCAACTGTGAGCGCGCGAGTAGAAGCTCGCAGTAGAGTTCGAGGATCTCGTGCAGCTCGGTGGTGATGTCGGTACGGATTATGTTCTCTACGCGTATGCGCGCCGACTGTACTTTGCCAACCTGTAAAAATGTCAACACAAGTAACACGGAACAGAATACAGTGATGTCTGGAATTGCGCTGTTGCCTTGCGCTCACGCGACGAAATGCGCATCGGACCAAGATAACATGACAACGTACCTCGATCAATTGCGCCATCTCTCTTCTTTGCTGTTTTACTTTTGCGCTATCCTTCTGCTGCACCATACGTAGCCGCGATATCGACAGCTTGAGCTGTACCTTGAGCTTGTTCTGCCCCGCATTAGGTTCCTGGCGCAATAGTGGATTCCTTGGTGGATGTGGAAGGGACGTACGACTAATGACATTGCGGGCGCCATCTTGTTCTGTTCAGTGCGAATACCAGGTATCTAGCGATTGAGTGCACGGCGTGGTGGTTTGTTGCGAAGGCGTCTGATGTAGGTTGAAGCTAGTGGTCGGGCTGGAAGCTGGAGGCGGGACACGCGTAGGCATGTCTTGGTGGGGTTCATCAGCTGTGGCGGTGGCGGTGCAATAGAGGCGGCCCGTTCCCCAGTTCAAGTCATCCTCCTCATCATCCCACTAGCATGACTACAGCATCTTCGCTCAGAGGAAGGCCGGTGACCTACGGGACGTCCAGCCCTCGCAAGCGTCAGCGCCTCACATCTCGTATTCATCATCTCGCAGATCGTAAGACTAAACAACGTTACAATCTGTGTCTCCATCTCAAGCAGTCCGACGAAGCGGAGCATTCACTTACCGCGTTGATGGTTTCAAGATGCCTTCTCTCAATTCTCTATTGTTAGCCTGTCCGTGGTGGCACGGTCATGCATGTCCGCGACCTTTCGCACAGCTGCGTTGTGCTTACTCCGCCTACTGACTGCGCTTAACATTCGATCGCTGCTCCAATGTTTAAACCCTACTTCCGTCACTCTCGTTCTCAGCGTGTATTGTATATTGTAAGCTCGATTGTACACGTTCGAGATATATTTATTCTTCCATCGTCCGTTTAGGATGCGACTCTTGCGCCTGGAGCCTGACGGTACCTTCAGCCTTAACGAGTACTTTGGGGAAAATATACCCTCGTATGCGATCCTTTCACATACCTGGGGCGCCGATGGAGAAGAAGTCACCTATAAAGATTTGATGGAGGGCAACGCAGAGTTAAGAGCAGGTTATAACAAGCTCAGTTTCTGTGCAGACAAGGCTGTGGTTGATGGTCTAGATTACTTCTGGGTTGACACTTGTTGCATAGACAAGACGAGCAGCGCTGAGCTTACAGAAGCCATCAACTCGATGTCCCGATGGTATCGAGATGCACGGTAAGAATTTCAAGATTGCCTTGTTCGTGGCACATTCTGAGCATAAGTCTAACGAGTATTGGGAGAGAAAGCATTTGTTACGTCTTCCTAGCAGACGTTCGGTCTTCGCGGAATGGATTAGCTGATCAGCATTGGAAGTCAGATTTCCAAAAGAGTAGATGGTTCACTCGCGGCTGGACTCTCCAGGAGTTGCTTTGTCCGATAACAGTCGAATTCTTCTCTGCGGACTTGAACATGCTCGGGAATAAAGGATCCCTTTCGCAACAGATCAACCTTGCCACCGGCATACCTACAGAGATATTCTGGAAGAAAAGGTCTTTCCTCTCGTACGGCGTTGACAACCCAATGTCCTGGGCACGAAAGCGGCAAACTAAGCGCGAAGAAGACGCAGCGTATTGTCTCTTTGGCATCTTTGATATCCAGTAGCCAATATTTTATGGAGAGGGGAAGAAGAAGGCTTCGATTCGGCTACAGAAAGCTATCCATGAGTCAATGGGTAACCCACCTCCGCCACCTCCACCACCTCCACCACCACATCCGCCCTTCTTCCAGCATCAGCTACCACCACCGCCGCCCCCGCCTCTCCAAAAACCGTCAGATATGCGCTCGTATATAGAGACGCAATCATCGTTCCGTGTACCATCTAGCAAATTGTAGAAACTACTCCGACTCCTCTAATACCATTACAGTATGAATCGGAAATCCAGAACGATCTCTAGTAGATATGGCGAGCCTGTTAGCTCTGAGCCATCCAGCAGCTTGACTAGAGTTTATTCCTTAGGCAGGCGAGCGATGGAGATAAACAGCAACATCCTGTCACATGGCCAAATTTGCTTGACCGAGGCATCGCTGACCAACGCGGGGAGAGGGCTGAACATGTAATTTGAGTCGATTTGGTATCACCTGTCGATTTGCCAATCAAGATCGAAGGTTTTGTTCCTGAGTCTGCTTTTCTTAATCTGTTAATCTGTATAGGATATTTGTGGATTGTGCATGTAGTAAAAGCACAAAGCGGAGCGGTTTCACTTCTCTCTGATTCATCCAAAAGCGGCGCACATGCACAACAGTGGGGAAATTAGATTGGACGAATACGGTGTATTTTCAAATCTCAAGTATGAAGTAAGGGATCGGCATGTAAGCCAGCCTGATTAAACGAAGTTTCAGGCTGACCATGCAGCCACCTAGGCTTAATGAGTTGCGCCACCAGCATACAACTCCAATCACAGAAACCACTGCTATCACCATGCATAACAGCAGCATGTCGCCAAGGCATCTCTTTGGGGGCCGTCTCACGACGCACAACTCACATCCTGCTTACCTCGCGCTATCTAGTCCCTTTGTCTGCTTACTTCTCCTTCCCTGCCCAACGAACTCACCTCGATACTCTTGTCAGACGAGTCAATTGGGCACGCGCATGTTTTTGCCCACATCAACGCCATGGCTCCATCATGGCGCATACTGAGTAGCTTTACGTTCAGCCTTGCAGCTCTCTTCATCGTACAGCCTTGTCTCGTAGGTGCGCAATGCGACATCCCGCCTCTTACGCTTACCTGGGCCAACCTGAGCGTCACGCAAGACGGTCTTGGTGTCGCGCGTGGTATCGAACTTGGAATTGGAACTCCACACCAGATCTTCGCTTTCCGGCCGTCGACTACGCTCAACAACACGCGCATTAATAATGTTGTTAACTGCGGTTCTGCGACCAACGACAGCTGTATTGGAGGTCTCGGCGGTGCTTTCGACTCGACTAAGTCGACATCATATGCTGTATCGATTAAGAGCCAATGGAATGGTAGCCAGATTGATGATGAAGACGACACAGGAGGCTATGTCTACTTTAATGATGATGTCGCGTTTCAAGAAAATGGTCATGTTGATGGATTTCCGTTGGTGATGGATAGCGAGGTATGGGGAGGTAAGAATTCCATGAATGCGCCTTGTCCAATCTGACTTGCGGACAAGTGACGCTGACTTAGTATACAGGTATACAATCCGGTCTGCCACTCGGCACGAACTCGTCATTCCTTCGTGCGGCGGTCGCAGGTGGTGTCGCGCCATCACAAGTCTTCGGTCTTTGGAGCGGCAGCAGAGGCATCGATCCACACGACGGTCTGCTCGTTGTAGGTGGATATGATCGCGCGCGGGTCGATCCAGCGTCGAACTTCACCACTTTCCCAATTGGCGAATGGAGTCTTGAACGAGCTTGTCCTTTACAGGTCACAGTCACGAATCTGACGTATCAGGACCGGCCACTCATACCAGATGGTAGCGATGAGCTGATCGCATGTATTGAGCCGTCGACACAACGTTTCGTGTTCCCTCCGGCGATTGCGCAGGCGTTCGGCGTATATACTGGGCAAAATGAGACTGCGTATCCGGGTAAGATGCATTATAATGTGTCGAACCGCCCTATGGGCGACCTCGTTGTGACACTGGCAGGTGGCTACCAGTCAACCATACCCAATAAGGAGTTGTTCGCGCCACTACGTGGGTCTGATCAGTACGGTCGTTATGCCATCACCAACGACAGCACGCTCGAAGCCTCGATATCGGATACCCGAGCAAGCGACCCAGGGGATGTGGATAGTACTCTTGGAGGCCTCTTCTTAACTTTTAATTACCTTCTTGTAGACTACGCCAAGAGCGAGTTCCAACTCGCTCCAGCTGTCGCAGCCGACGCGAAAGACGTGTCGCCGGACCCTACGGTGATCTGCACGCCTACCAACACGACGCCAGCGAATCCTACCCCAACACCTGAGAAGTCCACGAATACAGGTGCCATAGCAGGCGGTGTGGTTGGAGGTGTTGCGGGACTTGCTCTGCTTGGTACGATCGGTTTTCTGTTATTCAGGCGGAATCGCCGCGCTAAGAAGGGTCCTCCCGTCAGCGAGATCGACGGGCAGCCACATTCACCTGTGCAACAAGTGTCGCGACAGCCGTCGGAGATGATGACGCATGAAGCTGCACCCGTGCACGAAATGCCTGCGACTCGATACCCGAGTTTTCGAAAACCTGAAAGCAGAGGATGGCGTTAGGATTCGCGTCAAAGAGGAATGCTGAAGGCTGGTAGATTCGCTTCCCTTATGCTATGACGGAGTTTTGTACTAAAACTTTAGGCGCTACGCTAAGTAATGCATTATTAGTTCGACTTCCCTTTCGCAACTCCCTCATCTTTCTCCAATCGCTACCCAGTAGGTTATGATAACAGTTTCGCTCGCATGGTAGGTTCATATACTGGAACATCCATAGGCACAACTTCCTCGTCGCGACAACAACTCACTTCTGCCCACCGTAACCAACCAGCGTACGTTCCATCTCTACAGTCGCTGCCAGGATGCTTCCTCCAAAGCATGCCCAACGTATCACCGCCAAAAAGCTTTGCCGAGAACCCGTGTCCAAGTTTGAGACACCAGCTATCAGCCACCAACTTCGCCACGATACGCCTTGCAAATGCTTGATCGTCGGTCTCAACCTCACCTGGCTTGGGTAAAGGAAGACTTAGAAGATCAAATTGTCGTTGTCCGCTCCAGCTCGTCATCTGCTCGTGTGCGAAAGCGCCGTCCATCATGCTCAACAGCCAGCACTTTTCTCTGACGTACTTTGGTCCATCCCAGCCATCTCCTTCATCAACCCAACCTTGCACCGATCGCATGCACTGAATCTGGACTGCGTAGTCGGTCATCGCTTCGTCGTTGATGATCATCTTTTCTTGGCCTTCTTCTTCTACAATAACTTCTTGTGGCACACGCATGAGAGGGACATGTGACACCATTGGGTGGGTGTGCGCATCAGTCGTGTTTGTCTTGCCTTTCCAGACCTGAAGTAGGATATGATGTGCGCGTTGCACGAGCGGGTTATTCGCACCACACATGAGCGCAAAATTTACGATCTGCAGATCTGAACCCATTGTGAAACCGGCGAAATCGTATGGGGAGTCCGGGTTGACAATGTGTTTAGTCCATAGCTGGTCCAGGTCCCCAAATTGCAGAATACCGACATCGAGATATACGCCACCGTACTTCAGCAGGAGTGGATACCGGATGAGATCTGAGGTGTGTTGTGCAGCATAGTGTCCGTTCAGGGTGCCGCGCGTAAACGCTGCTGGTACCACTAAAGGCGACTCGGTATCGATGTAGTTGGCTACATTGAGTGAAGAGTCCGGCACGACGTCAAGTACGTAGATGGCCCATCCTAGTGGTGAGAAGCGACGGTACCAAGCGATGACATTGCGTAGGAGATTGGGAGGTAAGTTGTGAATACCAGAGTTCCAAAATGCGAATATAGATTTAGAGCCTGAACTAGGAGGTTTTGGTGAAGTCAGCGCTTCTGGTAGAGGTTCATCTGTTGATATGGTAGGTAGAACTGTGTAAGGAAGTGCTGAGGTTCCCGGTATCTGTGGGAACTTCATAATTTGGCTCGATTGCTGACAGATATCCGTGGATTGGGAGAAAATCCTGTGCTGTAAGAAGACTTTGCATGGTATAACATACACACAGCTTACGTGATATTCAGCTTCACGGTAGTTCACTCACTATGAACGCCCAATAGTCATTTCGACTCATTCGCGCTAGTAACTCGCGTGACGTCACTACGCGAATCAGCCTCACCAGCCTCCTGGGAGGCATTGAAGTGACATCCTGCAACCCTGTCCACCATTCCCTACTTGTGAGAAAGGGTTGTCGACAGAATACAACCTTGTTCTCCCCTATCTAGTTATTATGTACCAAGATGAGTCAACAAACCTTTACAGTTAAGTCGCAGCCAAGCTGTCAACGTGCATCGCGTTAACATGATCATCGTTTCTGATAGGATACAAATGGAAGAAACCCTGGACTCTTGGACTCTATCTAGAAAGCTACTGCAATATGGAGATTAAGCTCAAAGTGCTTCTCGCAAGGGCTACCTCACATTATTTCGTGAGGGATTGTGGATCCGGTTGCTGGTAGGCTATTCGCACACGAAGTCTTGAGCGGTATACTCCGAAGGATTACCTTTGAACACGGCTTTCTTTGGATACAAACAAAGCAGACGCTCTTTGTCTTCCGCGTTCCGGGCAGTAAGTGTCTCGGGTGCAATGCCTTTCTCAACCCAATCAACTAAAGCTTGGAATGTCTCATGTGGAGAACCGCCTTGTCCATCTATGCAGTGACGTGCGCCTGGTGCTTCAAAATAGCGGTAGTAATCTCTTAACTCAGGATCGAGAACAGACACCCGGTCGAAGTAATCGCGTGTTCCTCCGTATGGTATTGCCCCATCCGCCTTCATAAGAAATGTTAGTCGTTTGTATGGTCCAGACGTTCGAACAGTACTTACAAGTCCATGCCATGTAAGAAGCTTCCCTCCTGATCTTCGAAGTCCGCTAAGATCCGGAAAATCAGTATTCATGATAGATTTGTACTCCCGCTCTCCTGCTACAAAATCTTCCACCCACTCAGCGCGGGTCATATTGTTCAAATTGTAGTTCGGGTTTTTTTCGACAAAATACTTGATCCAATCCGTAAACAGTGTAGCTCTCAGAGGCGTACAGGTGCCGTTGTTGCAGGTGCTGCCGATGATTTCGGGACCAGGAGCTTCTAGTGAACCGCCGTTTACCTCATAGCCTGCTGGATACCAAAGAGAGGACCCATTCTGTGTACGAGGCCCCTCCCAAACCGCTTCCATAATTATGGCAGCGTTAGCTGATATAGTCGAAGGCCCACCAGTTGTACTGCAGTTAACTGTGGATCCAACCAGCGTTCGTGGATCGACGTAGCACTTGTCTGGATCCGAGATCAACCCGTCAGTCAACCCGTCAAGACCATCGCAAGCCGCTATAGCAGCTTTCTCAAGAGCTTCAAACTCGCAGGGGTGCGGAAAACCAGTCGTGTTGAGTTCGTAGAACACTTGGTGAGGGTACGTTCCAGCAAAGAAGAATGGACTCCAATTGATAGCGGGCGCGGCTGCTGCGATTCCATCAAAAACATCTGGAAATCTTTGTGCGAAAAGATAGCCCTGTCTACCGCCTTGAGAGCAGCCATCCCAGTACGAATACGTAGGGGGTGAGTGGTAGAAAGTCTTGATAATGCTTTTTGCAATCAACGCACCGTCGATAAGTCCGTTAAATGCGAAATCCTGGAGTGCGTTGTAGTCGACGTTGCCAGGGCTACTTAGAGCCCATTCTGCTACAGAAGATCCATTCTCATGTTCTACTCCGCCATCGACGGTCGCACTTGCGTAGCCTCCAGTCACTTGACTAAACGTGGGTATACGAAGTTAGTAAACGTCTCATATGCGATCCGTACATAGGCAAAACTGACCCGTACATGTTGGCGAACGATGAACTGAATCCCGCAGACCAACCCCCACCACCAGCCATTGTGAAACGACCATTCCAGTCAGGATCCAGAGGAAGCCATATTTGAGTACGTAGCGTGTCATTCTTTCCGGGGTGCGTATGAGTAACTGTAACGTTACAAAAGTCGACCTTAATATCGGTGGGAAGTGGGCCGTGATTTGGCCAATACGAAGTACCACCGTCAGGGACATAGTCCAATGCTAAGTGAGCTTCAAGTCCGATGATGCTGGCACCAAAAATCTCGGGAGTTGGAATGGATTGTGTTGTGCAGTTGCTGGCTCCTGGAGATAAAGCCATGACAGCAGATATACGCAATGAGAACAAGCTCGAATACAGCAAATGGTGTTTTCTCATTCTCCGATGCACTTTGCTCTTGGTATAAATGTGTAAGTACTATTTGCACTACACTCGCGCACGAAGTTTCGCGGACTTGCCGTCATCGGAGAGAGATCAACAAAGACGGACCTCGGCAAAAATAGGCCGGCCGCGTTCGAGTATCTAGAGCAATCAGCGTCAGTACGATGGTAGTTTGTTTCGGCACACGGGAAATGCTCCTCATCTTTGGAATATTGGAGATCTCTCTAGAGTCTGAAACTCTGTGACGTAATGGTGTCGAGGTCTTGTTGATCACATAGCATTTAGTATGTTCTCGGCAAGACCTAGCTAGTTGCCTGTAGTGGTTACATGCCTAAGAAAGATGACATCTGTAAAAGAGCATGATTGAAGGGGGTTTGATAGCATTTTGCTGATGGGTTGGGCGACAATGGCTATTCTGTGCTGTTCTACGGCCTTAGTTTGTTATGGCCAGGCGTTAAGGTGGTTGACTGCGTGGCACGCACGTGAACACAGAAGATCTTCAAGACTAGACACTAATCCAACTGGACGGGCTTGACAACCCTGGAGTTTGGAGTACTGGAGCTTTACCCACGTGTCTGAAGCTTGGCTCAACGCTAAAAGGAAACCCCCATATTGCTTCTTCTAGCCGACCCGAGAAAGGGTGTAACCTTGCAACTCTCTCGCCTCGGGCTCACGGCGGGTGTCACTTAGCGTCGAAGCCAAACTCCACCCATGGTCATACGAGCAATAATGAGGATCTTACCCTGTTCAGTGACCACAACAGCGTGCCCACGTTTTGAGCGCCACCCTCGGGCTTGAACACTTGGCACCCGGGGCACGGCCTTGGCATAGCCCTTAGTGACCTTCCTCTACTCCTCATCGACGGCTTGGCTCAGTAGCTTCTACAAGGAGATCTGACATCTATAAAACTTTGTTGTCAAACGACTTGCTGTGCCCTGTCAGTGGAACTGTACTATACGTTGAAGTCTTCTTTCATCCAGCTCTTCTAAACCACTCGTCACGAAGCTCAAATTTGTCGAAAATGGAGAATACAGATGTTAAACCACGTTCTATCGATATGACACGGACAGAGAAAATCGACATCGCAGAACCGCCGGACCAAACCGTCGCTTTCACGACAATGGAGACGAGGCGCCTCCTCCGGAAGTTGGATATCGCCATACTTCCTCTTGTCTCTACGATGTATCTACTTTCGTTTCTCGATCGATCAAACATCGGGAATGCTAGACTAGCTGGCCTTGAGCAAGATCTAGGGATGACTGGTTGGGATTATGCTGTGAGTCAACTCTACTATCCTACCATGGTCTTGCAGTTCATGGCATTGACTCATACATGTGTGAAATGATAGACAGCCGTTTCAGTCTTCTTCCCTTTCTACATCATCTCTGAGGTACCGTCCAACCTCGCCATGAAAAAGTTCCGGCCGTCGATCTGGATCCCCTCGATCATGGTTGCTTGGGGCATAGTCATGACCCTCATGGGCTTAGTGCACAACTTTGGAGGTTTGTTGGCTGCACGTATGGCCCTTGGTCTTGCTGAAGGTGGCTTGTTCCCTGGTGTTGCTTATTAGTGGGTACCAAGAATGTCTTGCTGTTTCGGGTTTTGCTAACAAACCATAGCATCACCTTATGGTACCGTCGTCATGAATGCGGTTCCAGAATTGCGATCTTCTTCTCGGCCGCAACTGCTGCAGGTGCCTTTGGAGGCCTCCTTGCGCGTGGCATCATGGAAATGGATGGGATTGCTGGGCTCGATGGTTGGGCATGGATCTTCATCCTTGAGGGTATCCTGACTGTCATAGTTGGTGAGAGCGAATTCTCTTCGTCGATATCTCTAGGTTTGACATATCCACTGACTGATATTAGCCGGAATCTCTTACAAATATCTACATGATTACCCCGATACCGCTAAGTTCCTTACCCAGAGGGAAAAGACTGAAGTCATACGACGCCTGAAAGATGACAGCACGGCTCTATCGGACGAATTCCGCACTCAATTCATAAAGGATGCCTTTACCGACTGGAGGATTCTTGTGCACTGTCTCATCACCTTCACCAACTTTTTACCACTCTATTCCATCTCGATCTTTTTGCCAACCATAATTCGGGGTATGGGATACACAAATGAGACTGCTCAGCTGCTTACAGTACCGCCTTATTTCCTTGCGTGTCTTGGCACTGTTGGCATTGGCTTTGCTGCCGACAGACTTAGAATACGTGGCCTATTCGTTATCGGACTTGCTGCACTCGCGTAAGTCTCCACCGGGGATGCGATCATGATCGTCCTGTACTCTACATCGTAGCGAAGTTAACTTAGTGACAGCATCGTCGGATTCATCATTCTCCTTACTGTGGACACAAATGGCGTCAAATACTTCGCTTGTTTCCTAGTATTGCTAGGAATCTATCCAAACGTGCCACAGATTACCTCTTGGAACAGTAATAACGTTGGCGGATCTGTAAAACGAGGTGTAGCCATTGCTATGCAGATCGGAACGGTGGGTCTATTCCTTGTTGACTGTTTATCCTTTACTGACGATGTACCAGGGTAACATGGGTGGCGCAGTCTCGGGGTTCATCTTCCAGGCCCGCGATGCTCCTCATTACCATACTGGCCACGGCATTCTCCTCGCGTTGTGTTGTTTGACTGTGTTGCTGGCTTCGTTCATGACGTGGTATTTGCGGAGAGAAAACAGCATAAGGGATTCCAAACATAAGCCTCCTCAGGAGTACACACTCTCTGAACAAGAAGCGGAGGCAGACAAAGGTGATAATGCCTCTTTCTTCCGATACACCGTCTAAGATTGCTGTAACTACAATCCAAGACATCTTCTAAGCACAAATGCTTCAATGTTATGGTAGTCGCACAACAATCTACTTCATTTCCAAAAAGAGAATGACAAATCCCACACATGAGTGAGAGAGATGCTCTTCACGTAACGCATGTGTGTCCATATCGCGGTTCGTTGAGATGAACATGGATGATATTTTTACTCCACATAAGGGGAACATCGATCTACAGTTTATTCTTGAATTTGCGTTTCTCTTGCTGCTCAACCTTGAACTGCTGGACTGCCTTCATGTATTCCACCGAACCAAATCTTTCCTGCTGAGTAACCTGACACTCGCGATCATTCGCATCAAGTAGCTGTTGAAGTACGGGTTGCTTCAACAGTATCTTTGTAGTTCGAAGTGCTCCGGAAGGAGATTGCGCGATCCGGCGTGCGATTTCAATTACATTGTCGAGAAAACCTTCTTTAGGCAAAATCTTTGTGACAAGATGCAGCTTTTCTGCCTCCTCGGCTGAGATGGGTTCTCCAGCTAGGCATAGTGCTGAGGCTTTCTGATGACCCATAAGCCGCGGAAACGTAAAGCTCGATGCTCCCTCTGTGGTCATTCCCCATTTGACGAACGGTGTAAAGAAGTATGCGTCAGGGACACAATATACAAGATCGAAGAGAGCGAGACTGCTCACGCCATAGCCTGCGGCTGGGCCATTGACAGCGGCTATCAGAATCTTCTCGGTGGAAATGAAGGTCTTTGTTAACTGATGGAAGTCTGAGCCAAGAGCGAACGACATAGGAGCCTCCGTGTCCGTCAATTCCATCCCAGTGCAAAAGAACTTGCCTTCTCCCGTCAGAAGAATGACTTGAACATCGGGCTGACTATCTGCCCACCGCAGGGCAGATAAACTGTCCGCTAAGAGCTTGGGATGCAGAGAGTTCCCCGACTTGGGCCGGTTATATTTGATGATGGCAATCCGACCCGCTTCTTGTAGTTCAACTTTGACATAGCTGTATGAAGGTGGCGTCATGTCGGTCTGGTCGTGTGTATCCCTCCTGGCTATTGTCTGGCAAATTCTGAAGAGAAGTACAAATGACGCGGTAGCCAGAACAGGCGACCCGACTCGAAGTAGGTGACTTTTGTGTGTATGAACTAATGGAGTATGGCTCTTGCAGTGCCATAAGATGCTCCTATAGCGCTCTGTACCCGAAGCGAATTATACCTAGGTAGTCTTATCTCGGACAGAATCTATGCTCCGAGAGCATTAGAGCACCCTGCGCCCCTCATTCTTCTCAAGAGACTAACTTTGTCAGCCGCAGGGTAGCTGGCGTCTGACTTGAAGCCGTCCACGGACACACCTCGGGCCGCGCCAAGCCCGTCCCCACATAGCCGCATTTCGAGGCTCCGTTACCCCGCAAAACTTTATCTGAACTCGGGTTAGGTCTCCAAACCCGACGCTGCATAGACCCGTTCCTTCTAGAGTGATGCATCGGGAATGCCGTGCTACTCCCGCCAACCGGCCGGGTATGTAGCGCGTGTGTCCAATACTTTTTTGAGACCATGTTGTTCAACTTCACCAGTCTTGGATTGTCGAAATCATATACCTTCAAACAAATTTCTGTATCATTGTACCCATGGCGACACTTGATTCGAAGCCTAGCGAGATGCCGCAAAAATTCAACTTTGCGGTTGATGTAATCGACAAATGGGCAGATCAACAGGATGATTTGCAGGCCATGCACTGGGTATCGCAAGACGAATCGAATACCAGGCACATGACCTTCAAATACTTTTCCAAGCAATCCCATAGGATTGCTCTCCTCCTTGATCAATTGGGGTTCGGGAAAGGGGATACTATGACGATGGTTCTCCCAAGAGTGCCTGCATGGTTAGTACGCTATCTATGCGTCTACAAGAAATTCGACTGACAATCTGAAGGTGGGAGATCGCGCTTGCGGCCATTCGCAGCGGAATCATTCTGTCACCAGGGCCGAATCTCCTGACCGAGAAGGAGATTCAATACCGGTGCAATAAAACCAAATCGAGACTGTTTTTCGGCGACGAAACGAGCGTGTCGAAGTTTCTTGCCGTGCGCCAATATTGTCCGACAGTTAAGCATATCATACGAGTCGGAGATGGTACTAGGAGTCAAGACGTTTCTTCTCTGTATGCCGCACTGGAGGAGATCGAGACTCATGCCAGATTCGACTCGGTGTATCAAGAATGGAGCAGTCCAGCCATGATCTATTTCACTTCTGGAACGTCTGGTCACCCGAAGATGGTAAGACATAACCAGGTCATGCTCTCTCTAGGTAAGGTTCCGAGCACTTTGCATCTGAGTAAGTTACTAAATAGAGTAGCAAGAGGAAGCGCATTCGGACAATGGTATCAGCTGGCTCCAGGTAAAGTCCTTTGGAACACTGCGGACCAAGGTTTGTCAAATCGTTCACCAGAGAAGTTCAGAACGACATTGTTGACCCGCTGGCAGGTTGGGCAAAGGCTGCATGGTCTTTCTTCGGAGCTTGGAACTCTGGCGCAACGCTCTTCGTGCACGATGATCGTGGAGCGTTCAGTGCAAAGCGCACCGTGGATATACTGTGCCGGTACCCGATAACTACCCTATGCGCCGCTCCGCTTATCTTTCGACAACTCGTGTCACCCGAACTAGAAGACCACTTCAAGCGAAACCCTCCCGCTGCGCTAGCTCATTGTACAACGGCTGGAGAAGCGCTGAACGCTATAGTCACCCAGCGATGGCGTCAACTTACCGGTCTCGACATCTACGAAGGATATGGCCAAACAGAAACCGCATTATTATGTGCCAATCTGAAAGGCTCCACGATCCGCCCAGGCTCCATGGGGAAACCAGCACCTGGAGTGCCTCTCCACATCATAACGGCAACCGGAGTGGAGGCTGCGCATAACGAGGAAGGAGATATAGCAGTGCTGTTGAGTGACCGGAAGGGCAGCAGTAACTTCTTTGGTATCTTCGATGGCTATGTGCAGGAAGATAATACGTGCACCCGGAATGAAAAAACCGTTACGGTGGATGGGGAAGTCAAGTCCTACTACCTAACCGGTGACAGAGCAACTCGTGATCAAGATGGCTACTTCTGGTTTGTGGGGCGAGCGGATGATGTTATCAACTCCTCTGGATACCGAATAGGTATGCTCTAGTCCTAACGCTTTGAGTCTTCTTTTCTGACAACTTCCTAGGTCCTTTTGAAGTAGAATCCACGCTCAAGCTACACCCTGCCGTCGCAGAAGCTGCCGTCGTATCCTCGCCAGATCCAGAAAGAGGAGAAGTCGTGAAGGCATTTGTCGTTCGTGCGACAGAGTACGAGAATACTCCACCTCAAGAACTTGAACAGGAGCTGCAAACGTTCTGCAAGAAGAATGCAGCACCATACAAATATCCACGAAAACTGGAGTTTGTAGAAGGCAGTTTTCTCCCTAGGACTACGAGCGGCAAGATTCAGCGGGCCTTACTCAGGAAATCAGAATGGCGAAAGGAAGCAGGCTCGAAACTCTAATCATGTGTCAGCCTGTACCTTGACTATATCCTGTTTCCGACACCTCCATGTTTGCGCTCGATGTCCGCCTTTTGTTCCCTTTGCTAGCTCAAAGCAGTAGCTTATTTTCCACTAAGGCCGTCCAGACACCTTCATATATGTAAAAGTCCATGAAGAGTATAATGATCTGTACAACACTACAAGCGCCACGCATAATTCGTGCCGTTGATGTTTTCCTCATTCTCGCCGTAATCTCTGAGAGCGAATGAAAAATTATCGATCATAGTCCCGGTGTTTGCAGGACCAAAGATCTGAGGTAGAATCCCGTCAATGTGGCCACTATAGCCGTCAAGATCCAATCTGGGACTTTGTTCTCGCTCAATTGTGAGATCTTCAGACTCAATGTTTGTTGCAGCTGTATCGGTGGAGCTCAAAGCCTTGGTCGTGGACAGTGTGCCGTAGTCACAGAGTGCGTACAGTTGATCGATGTCGGCAACTTCGAGGGGGACACTTTGGAGGGAAGGATCGATCAAGTCAGAACAACGTATCGAATCAACAGCGAACTGAGTCAGCTTTGCAACCTGTGAATGTTATCTTGTTAGCTAACGATAGACCTATACCCAGTATTCACATACCATGCGCCCTGACGTCTTCCAAAATCTGGTTTTCCCGCTGACGTGCATTATACTGCTTTGTAGAGCTTCCACGGATTGTATGCGAGTAAGACAATCTAGCGAGTGCTGGAACAAACAGTGTATTGAGCCTGCTACGGTAGAAGCGTAGCTCAAAAAAGTTGCTGACACTTTGTATTGCGCGCGGGCCGCGTTCTCCACAGTGCGCGTGAGTTCCTGAGCGTGTGTGAAGCAACTGACGATTGTGCGAGACAGAAAACCGGCGGGTATCTTGAATTGTGTCCTCTCGAGTCGACGCCTTATCAGAAACGGATGCTGAAGCAAGCAGTAGCAAAGATGATACAGGACATAGGTCAAGATGGTGGACTCGGTGATCGGCACGTTGGGCTCAGACTGACGAAGAGGTGCGTTCAGAATCGTCGCCTGTATGTCCCCATAGCAGTCGAAGAGTGTCTCGAACTGGGCGAGCTGAGAGCAAATGGTTTGGTACTCGGACGTGTGGTCCCACGGCGCCTTCCGATCGCCAGTAATGTCTCGTTGGAAAGTGTAGTTGGCCACTTGGCTCAAGAGAGAAGCGACGACAACAGTTGGTGCGAGTGTCTCCATATGATCGACTCTGAAGTCGACAAAACGCAGAAACTCTTCCAGACTTACCACTTGCTGCGGTGTGGATGTTCGGAAGTTTTCGTCACTGCAGGGTAGCTGAATACGAATTGACTGGTCCTGGAACAAGGACGGTCTATGTCTGCCACAAGTGGCCAGCTTATCTAAAAGATAGATCGACCATAACGTGCGACGACGTTCCTCTTGAGCGGAGAAGGGCAATTCAGTGGGCGGTTCAGTCATCATGTGCATAGCTTGTGCAACATTGACAGCTACACCAATTTTGATCCATGCAGTTCTATGCTTACACTCTGAAGCAGTCAGCCTTGTCTTTGTCTGTGAATAAAGAGCAGAAATACCTGTGAAGTCATACAGCGCGAGTAAAGTCGCCGCTTGAACCACATAGTGGTCTAAAACTTCATCAGAGTCAAAGATACGCCTGAAAGTCTCTTTCCATGCTGCGGACGCGTGCGCCGCAGCTGTACGATCTTTGTCGGCAAAGAATGGATCATCTGAAAAGCGTATCGCTATTCCTAGTACAGCTCGTATAAGGTAGTTCGGCAGCCTACCACTGCGTAGCTGTTGCTGAAATGTCTTTTCATGAAAGAAGCAGTATGGCTGACCGTGCCAATGATGAAAGAATAACTCGATAGTTGATGATAAGATGTGAGATGGAGGCATCTGTGGTTCGAGACTATGAGCATTGATCGACGCATCGTTTGTATTGGAAGTTGGAAGCTGCTGCCTGCTTGTGAAGGTTGAAGTGGCTGCAGCGTCGATACTGCGCAAAGAGTTCAGCATATAACCTAAGATATGCTTAGCAATGAGGGTGCGGTACCTTTCAAGCATGGAACTGAAATCGGATTGGGGATCGCCGCTCATATCCAATGAAGTCAGACCTTTCTATGAAGCTGTCAATAAATGATTCTTAAAGTAGGAAGAGAAGGAAATACATTATTTGGGTTCATGTCTTTAGGATGGTCTGACGTTGGGCGGCTGTCTTGTGTCGTTGTCCATCTGCGGCTGCGGTAGACGCATTTCTGGAGCAACCGAGCGCAGAAGCTGCATGAAGGCTGCTCGCCATCACATTTGACTTTCTTTCGTCTATGTCGCCATATTCAGTCGCCACGACTTGTATTTTGTGGTCGTTTGCGGACCCGATACGTTGGACGCGCATGTGGTTATGCAGAGTAATGGGCGAGAGCTTACCGGCAGTTCAAGCAAGCCTGGCGAGACCGACGGCTATTTCGGGGTTCCGCGCCTTGATCATCCATCTGAGAAGGTAGTGGGTCTCGAAAAAGGATGAGTGTGTAATCGAACAAGGTGAACGTTAACAGACGGCGATGGTGAGGCCAAGGCTCGCTCTCTTGACACTAAACATAGCGCCATTCCAACCCCGCACTGGGGTGCCGTGTCGTACCGCTCTTCAGCGACTCGTTCCCTCGTTCCCGCATATGAGGCTGGAGCCGTAAAATGCAGCCTTTTCATGACTCTGGTCTACAGGGAGATCGAGATGACTAAGTAGCGGACAGTAGTATCACAACGACAGTGAAGCAACAAACAAAATATTAAAAGCTAAAGAAAGCAGGAGAATCCAAGCGCGGCAATATGCTAGGATTTGGGAGAAATGGGGCTTGTCTGTTTTCATAGTCATCATTCACACGGTGCGTTGCGATGGCCGTTTACCGCCAAGGGCGCGCAAGCAATATCTTATGCTTGACCTATAATAACTAGATCCTGCTTCCTCTATACCATCATCTTCTATCGTAATACTGTTAGCATGCAGCAAAAGCAGAGATCTGCGCTCTCCCCACTTCCTGATATCACCCGTGGTCTTTCCGCACCACTGCCTCCTGCACGCCGTCCTACTCCACCAATTTCCGCTCCAGAATTCCTCATAATTGGTCTTTTTGCGCTACGTTTCACAGAACGTCTGATTGTGAGCCTCGACTACTATCCAGGTCGCGATGCCGATATCATCTGGCTTGTCAACTTCCTTGCGCCTTACCCCAACGACTATAAACTAGCGAAGATCTCAGGCAGTCATAGAGATGACTATCTTGCGATGTATCAGAACATAGTTTCACGCATGAAGAGGCAACCAAAGTACCCCGTGCGCTTCATGCAGATGAACCCGGATCCATCGATGCAGCAGGCACGGCAAGGGCGCGAGATGGAACGGCCGAGGGAGATGACTGATGGTGAGTAAGATGGTGAGACGATCATATGCAGAAGCTAAAACTGAACAGCAGAAAGATCGGACATCGTTGACTTCTGCGATGCGGCAGCCGAATGGGGATCCATGCTTCCAATTCCAGTGCATGAAGCGGAGAAGATGGTCGAATTGGCTGACCGGAGGAGGATCGCAGATGTCGACAAACCTTATCGGCAGCAATTGCGCTATAGCAATCGGGAAGAGTTGCACGGTCAAAGACAGCCACGTTTCAACGACAGGGACGAGTTGCAAGATCAGAGGCAATCGCAATTCGCGCTGAATGCCTTGCCACGCGATATGGGAAGGCCAGTCCATGAACCAAGGCAACCAGAACGCGAGGATAGGTATCAACCACATAACGCTGGAACGTGGCGTGGCGACGAGTGCCTCATTGCAGAAGAAGGGCAGCTTGCGGAATACAGGCGACGGAGACGTTATGTGTCGTTTGCGGATGAAGAATCATATTTTGACGTAAGAGGCATGCGCCGGTGAGACGAAGACATGCTCAAGATTGCTCTGAAAGGTCAAGATTTAACAAATTCGAACGAGGATGAAAAGGCGTCGACGAACGGTCGGCCGATGTATTGATCATGTAGCTGTTCTCAATGTAATCCGTATGCATACTGCTCGAATTATAATGTGGCAGAAGCTTGATGTATCCTCACAGTCTCCAGTGGCGGAAGCAATGATCGCTTTATTTTATCTCAGTACCTCACGAACTGGTTTTAATCTTCGTGTACGTCTTCTAGTCGCCTAAGCTCTATGCTTACTCGTAATGTGAATTCGATTCTGCTTTGCTGTGCACATCTTCCAGTACTGATTCAGCCACGCCCGCGCCTTCGTCGTAATCGCAAAAGTAACGATTAAAACAGGCAGCGCCGTAACCCAGAAGATCCACCCTTTTGTCCTCCCAGGCAAGAACTTGTCGTCCATGGAGAAGATTGCTGCAATAGTCGAAAGCGGTATGAACAGCATCGTCAGGTTGGTAATGTGAGCAAGATTGGAAGCATTCTTGTTGGCAGCTTGTGCTTCTTGCATGGTGGTGAACTGCATGTAGGACTGCAAGAACGCATCTGCAATGCCGATGATCTTGCCGCAGTGGTCTTGTACCGAAAGCCACCCGTCTCGCTCCCATTGCAGTTCGTCAGAACTACCGGGGCGGTATAATCCCAAAGCTTCAAGGTTTTCCTTCAGTTCGATGAGCAAAATACTCATAACAAACTTTACGTCGACAATGAATCCAAAGACCTCGTGCTGCCAGTTTCCCAATACTCCCTGGTCAAAATTACGAAGATAGTACCATCGATTGACATGTGACTTTGCTGCAAGGGGATCTGTCTGCAGTCGTAGCAGAGTCAGGATTCGCCTCCGGACATATGAAAGAGACGAGCAGATCGCGAGTTTACGAGCGGTGTCGGTGCATGTACGTGGACCAATCGTTCCGGATGGCGTGTTTTGCTGGATTGCGACTATGTCGTCAAACATAGACGTATACTGTGGGCGCTTCTCTCCTTCATCCCAGTCGTCTGGGTTCGACGATAATATTGTAAAGTCATGGAAGTCGGGATCTAGTGAATGCAATCGGGAGTACGCGTAATCTTCCGAACAGTAGTCAACTTCAAGCATGACATTCTCCGAGAGAGATTTGACCAATTTACCAACTGGTGGATCTACTATTAGAACCGCTACCCAGAGAGGTTAGTGGTGTCGAACAGAGCTGAAAGTTGAATCTTACAATCCCATGAGCCATCTTCCCGGGCAGCAGATGTCCAGAACGACAAAGCATGATAGCTCTTAGGTTGGTCGATGATCGGCCCTTTTGGGTCGTAGCATTGTATGTGACGGTCGATGTTGAAGTCACATTTAAAAGTATGTCCATGAACCGCGGGATCAGCATCAATGCGAATCGGTTGTGTGGAAGGATACCTTATGACGAAGTTGTTTTCGGAGTAACGACGGAAAGGTTTGCGGTGATTGAATGAAGGAGCTGCGGGATCGGCCCAGTGGGCGCCGAAGACACTTGGGGGAATGCGTAGGTGTGAGCCGAGAATTTGAACGTAGTTCAGAGGTAGATCTTCAAGTATGAACAGTCTTCGCCAAGGATGCGTCGGCTTCGCATCAGCGGTCTCATCAAGATAGCATTGCAGCTCTCGCGAACTCTTGAACATTCTCGGCGGCATTGACACCTCGTCCAAATACTCGATAACTGCCACTCTGCCCATGTCACGTTGGTATAGGGATTGCGCGTGTAAGTTCCGAACAAAATCCGGAAATAGCCAATATAGCTGCGAGCTCAACAATGCGAGGTAGGCCTCGCAAGCACTATGTTGAAGCAATGTCGCTGGCCTATCGTTCCGAGCAAGGGATGGGATCTGAAAGTCGTGCATGATTTTGAACGAGGAAAACAGTCGCAAGATCGATCATGTTGCCCGTCGTTGATAATGATCATACCGCCCTATGCTTGTACGTCAGCCCCGGGCGGAGATAAAGGTATGTTGAGTGGCTAGAGTAAGCTTATTAGACAATAGGAAAGCGTGGCTGGCTTTACCCGGTGATATTGCTGCGAAAAGTGTGCCAGGGCAGCCCCTAGCACTGGTGATGCATGGATTTCATCCACCCTTGAATGGGAGAGTGCGACCCTCACAGCCACTCCAAGGAGATTGACGAAAGAGCTCATTCCCCATGTTTGCTCACACTTCCAATGGCCATATTAGCCAGGCTGCGATGTTTAGTTTTAAACAACACTCGCCTCCAGAGATGTGGCAGATGTGAAAAAATGAGAGCATCTTGTATGCAGCGTATAACCGGTCTATATCCGCGACTTCTCCGCGTGTGTAAGATACGATGTAATCGTCGTCCCCCTAACGCCGAGCCATGCAATCGTCAATCGTATCATGCAACCTTACTGTGTCGCACACTGAGGGCCCTCTGCCTCCTCATCATCGTCTTCCCACTCGGCGCCTCCAGCACGTGGGTCGCCGCTACCAGCACCGTACTCTTCCATGTCAGCATCCCACTCAACGTCTACTTCCTCCTCTTCTTCATGCTTCTTCTCGCTCTTTTCATCCTTGGGTAGTGCGTCACGGAGCTTCTGTACTGCGGCGTCGTTCTTCAACCATCCATCCTCTGGGAACTCGACATCAACTACTAGGTAGAGATCACCTCTCGCGTCGCTGCGCTTCATGGGCATACCCTCTCCTTCGATCTTGAGGATCTGTCCTGGTCGCAAGACGTTGCCGTTTGGTTGTTGCACGTTGAGCTTAAGACCACGTCCATCGAGATGAGTGATGACCACGCGATTGAAGCCTGTTAGTGCCTCCACTAAGCTAACCTTCAACTCGGCCCTCAGATCAGCGCCTGCGCGTTCGAAGACATCGTGTGGCGTCTCGGTGAGCGTGAAGATGATATCGCCTGGCTCCTGGTCGGGTAGTTGATCTGCCTCTCCTGCAAGTACAATGCGCTCGCCTTGTCGCGCACCGCGGGGAATGTAGAGTTCGAGCACGTTCTTGGTCTCGACGACCTTCTTGCCCTTGCACTTCTTACAACGCTGCTTCTCTGGGATGACTTGGCCAGAGCCTTGGCAGTTACCGCAAGGAACAGTTTCCTGGGTGACGAGGCCAGGACCGACCTGGCGGAGGACTTGCTTAGCACCTTTGAAAGTCAGTATAGTCGTCAAGTGCAAGGTGAGAAATTGACATACCCCGCCCGCCACAGGAAGCACAAGAATTTGCCTTTGCGCCCTTCTTTCCACCGCTGCCCTCGCACAGGTTACAGATGATGTTCTTTGTGTTTGAGAACTTTGTCGTCTTGCCCTTGTACAGCTCTTCCAAGCTGACCTCGTACTCTTGCTCTACTGGGCGTCCCTTCCGTGGCACGTTTCGTCCACCGGGCATGCCGCCCATGCCACCCATGCCTGGCATTCCGCCAAATCCACCCATGCCGCCGAACATCTGCGCAAAGATGTCGTCCATGTCGGGGCCCTCGCCTCCCATGCCGCCCTTGGAGGGGTCAAAGGCGGACATGCCATGGGTATCATACAGATGTCGCTTGTCATCGTCGGAGAGGATTTCGTAGGCTTGTTTCGCGGCCTTGAAGCGCACCTCGGCTTCTGCACGGTCTTCTTCTGCGACCTTGTCGGGGTGATGTGCTAACGCGGCCTATTGTCTGTCAGTATGAGGCGTGGATGCACTGCTGTTGCCTGCGGACCTTGTGGTATGCTTTCTTGATCTCGATTTTGCTCGCGCCCTTTTCGATCTCGAGGACCTCTGTTTTCGTCAGTGCGGTTCGTAGTCTCTAGACTTGTGTATCTACCGTAAAGATCGATTTCCTCATCCACTGGCATGGCGTTAGCAGAGAGTGGTGATGTCGTCGATTGGGAATACCTACTTTTGGGCTACTTTGGGGTATGAGTCGGAAAGTGAGGAACAAGACACACTCTTAGAAGCATGTACAAGAAATAAGGCGGGCGCAACGAAGTAGAATGCGTCCTGTCCAGTGAGAGTGAAGGCAACAAACTTTCTCCAGATTTGTCGATCACTTGCAATGCGGGCCAAATTCCTGAGGAGCGGCCCCCACTAATGTCGGGCGAATCCCTGCACGTCATTTTCAACCGCGAACTCGAACCCTTTGCGTCGCATCAACACCCAAATGTCGTTTTCACTACTTGTCCGCCCACAACTATCCACCTACACATGCCGGTCATGTCTAGTCCGCCTTTCGCGATCCTCGCACCGCTCAATCACCTCTAAAGGAAATCCTCAGCTCGCTAAAGAAGGAAAAGACAAGGCTAATACTACCGTACCAACATCTCCCGCACGGACGCGTTTTGCACCTTCGCCGACGGGCTACCTACATCTTGGATCACTGCGGACGGCGCTGTTCAATTACCTCCTCGCAAAACGAACGGGCGGCCAATTTCTACTGCGAATAGAAGACACAGACCAAAAACGCACGATACCAGACGCCGAACAACGACTCTTCGACGACTTACGATGGGCGGGACTGCAATGGGATGAAGGGCCAGAGGTCGGGGGTCCGTATGGGCCGTACAAACAGTCAGAGCGGAGTGCGATATACAGAGAATACGCGCACAAACTTCTGGAATCAGGACATGCATACCGCTGCTTCTGTTCTTCCGAGCGCTTGAACGCCTTAGCCGAACACAGACATAAGCTGGGCATCGCAACGGACTATGACCGCACATGCGCCCCACCTGCTATATCCAAAGAAGAAAGCGATGACAGAGCATCCAAAGAGGAATCGCACACCGTACGCCTCCGAGTTCCAGATCAATACCCGACATACAAGGACCTCATCTATGGCACCTTCCGACCCCTCAAGAGACGCGGCCATGTCACCGAATCTGCCTACGAAGACCCCATCTTGTTGAAGTCTGACGGTCTCCCTACATATCACCTTGCGAACGTAGTAGACGACCACCTCATGAAGATCACTCACGTAATACGAGGAAGCGAATGGATGCCCAGCACCCCGAAGCACATCGCCATGTACCAAGCATTCGGCTGGACACCTCCCGAATTTGCCCACGTCGGCCTACTCGTCGACGAGAATGGCAACAAGCTCAGCAAGCGAAACTTCGACACCGACATCACTGCCTTCAAGGAGATGGAAATCTTCCCTGAGACCCTGACAAACTTCGCTGCGTTACTAGGATGGAGTCACAAGGAAAAGAGCGATGTCATGGACCTGAAGACATTGATCGAGAAATTCAGTTTGAAATTCACAAAGGGCAACACCACAGTGACATTCGGTAAAATGCAATTCCTCCAGCGCAAACATGCCCTGCAACGTGCTTCTGTCGGCGGACCCAAACTCGAAGAACTGGTTCGCAACGTCTCCAAACTCCTCACTTCAGAAGACAGCCCCTACCAAGACTGGCAATCCATCATTGGCACGCCCTTTCCCGAATCCTACATCCGCTCCATCATCCTTGCCGACGCAGAAAACTATACAAACGCAAACGAGTTTCTGTACCGCAACTCCTTCTTCTTCACACCCATCCGTCCATTCGACAAGCAACCGCCCATGTCAACTACATCCGACATACCCATGCGCGCACAAATGTTGGCAGACATTAAAGAGGAAGATTGGAATAAAGAAAATCTGATGCAGAAGGTGCACGAGATCATTGATGGTAGGACAGAAGGCAAGAAGGGAAGCAAGGATGTGTATCACTACTTGAGGAAGACGATTACAGGGCAGGAGCAGGGGATGCGGTTGTACGACATTTTCACAATTCTTGGGAGGACTGAGACGCTCAAACGGTTGGGGTTGCTGATCAATAATTAGTATGATGTATGATAGCATGTGTAAAGTCCGGGAACGTATGTAACAATAGCATAGAGAGCATGGATCACGAACACAGATCATTTTTGTTCGATTCATTTCGTGTGGTATCCCATCCCATGATCTATCCAATGTACGCCCTACACACCCTGAACGCCATACCATGCTATCCACGATACTTCATCGTACACCTAGGAAGTCTCCATCTCGACCTCCTGGCTCTTGACCTCCTGCCCGTTCGTAAGGTTAAAGACCTTATCTTTGACGTTTGCAGCTAGTAGGCCCATATCTTCTTCACGCGCAATCTTGCTCCCAGCCGCACCCAGCTTGGTCAACTGGTTCTTACTCTCGCTGTTCGTCGCGTATCCTGCTCCGCCTTTGAAGCGCTTGCTGCTGTTGTTCTCTTGCTGCATTTTACGGGCGAGGTCTGAAATCTGTTTGGTGCCGTAGTCGCGGTTGGAGATGAGAGGAGAGGATGACAGTGTTTGTACCCAGTACTTGTTCCACAGCGCTTCTAGTAGCTTAGCGTCGAGTGACGACTTGTAGTGCGAGACTTCGAGGGGGTAGTAGTGGTTGGCGTGTGCGCCAAAGTCCTCAATCTTGCCGAGCGGAATGGTTTCAAAGCCGTCGCTCTCAGCGCCACTTGTGTTTTTGGAGCCGCCACCTGCCTTGGCCTGATTCTCAACGTACTCTGTTGAATAGGTACGGAAGGCACCGATCTCGACTTTGCCCGCAGAGACGGTTCGGTCGGGATCGATGACGATGGCGCAGAAGGGGTCTTGGAACTGTTGTTGAGTCTTCTGTGTGTTGACGTCGATGCCCGAGAGCCAGCAGCCGTAGCCAGGATGCGAGTGGTACCAGCCGACGGCATTCTCCATCTGTCCCTGTTCTCGTGCGCGCTGTAGAAACTCTACCATGTACTCGTTTGCCTCGTCTTGTGCATTGACTCGTGTCTCTGTACCCTCGACTGGTAACCGGAATGCGTCGGTTACGACGAATGTGTGTGCTTCAATCTTGCCTAGCATCAGGCCCATGACTTCGATTGAGCCGCCGGATCGCGCGTGCATGACCATCTTGAGGAGGGCGATGGCCGAAATGCGGACAGACGTGAAGTAGTTGGGGTCGGTTCGCCATGGATGCGCGTTGTTGATGGCTTTCTGCTCCGAGGAGGAATAATTGTAGAGGGCGTCCTTCTGGGGATCTACAAGCTTGACGGAGTTCTCCAGCTCTGGGATGTTTATTAGCATGCAACGTCAAGCGGGGTATCATGGTATTATGATGGATGGGACATGGGTTAGACGAGGAATCAGACTTACCCCACGTCTTCAAAGCGGTCCCCATGATTGAAGACGGTGTCGAGATTATTTGGGTGAGTTTGATGCTGTTTGGTGGGGAGGCAAGGCGGGAGCTGTATGCTTATTGCGGGGAGCTCAAGCGCCAAGACAAACAAGGCATCAGCGAGCAAGCCGGCAGTCATAGGAAAGTGAAGTCGAGTGTAATTCAAGACACCGCAAATACAGCTATGTTATGATTTACTGTCAACAGCCTAAAATAGAGCGAGATCAAAAAGTCTGTCTTCTCTCTACTTCTTCCTCCGTGACTGATCTTCCCACCCTGACCTTTCATTCATCTTCCGTGCCTCTTCCTCCATCTTCTTGACCCATCTCTTAGTCAACTCCTCATTCTCTTTGCGCAATTTCTCCTTCTCCTGCTCCGCCATGTTCAGTTGTAGGTTCAGCGCAACCATTTCGTCGTGTACCTCCTCCACAAGCCTCCCCTTGCCCTTGAGCTCCTCCGTTCTATCCTTGCTTCGCCTCTCCAGTTGCGTCCGGACTTTTTCGAGCTGTTCTATGCGCTGCTTTTGTTGCGTGTCTGAGGCCTTGAGGGTGCTCAGCTCAGCAGTAAGGGCGCTCAGTTGACTTTCTAGATCACCCCGCGTGCGCTGAGTGACGGCTAATTCGGAGCGAAGTTGCGCGATAGCAGATGGCGAGGAGACATCGGTCGTTGCTGGTCCTTTGCCCTTTGATGCGCTGGCCGCGGGGGCTGACTCTTCCGCGGAGGGTGTCTGATTCGCAAACTGCGCCGTGTTATCGGCGAGCTTGGTATCTAGACATCTGAGCATGATTCCGTGACATCGCGCACTCCACTCTGCAACTTACAGGCGTTCACGTACCCCTCATGCGCCTTCTCCCTTGCGTCACGCGCATCGAGTGCAGACAAATATTCCGCCAGGGGATCACTCATGGCGGCAGGTAGGGTCGCGAGAGATCAAGGGAGATACGAGCCGTCTCTATCGCTATCATGGTGGTGTGCTACGTGGGAGTAGGCTGAAGGTGGGCACCATGGACGATTGCGGGTGCGGAGGTCGTCACTGCTCCGATTCGACTCTACCCCTGCTAGCGCCGACAGGAAAGTTCCATCTCCAGCTATCCCACGTCACTACTCAAACTTCTTCACTTCCGTTCACTCGTCTCCCACAACTTACACACAATCTTCCAGCATGCCGCCCGCCCACCACATCTCCGGTACCTCTCGTGCCCTCTACCGTGTCTTCATCGCTCCGAATCTTCGCAATACGACATCAATCCCACTCCTCTACGCCCCAGCTTTTGCGCCAACTTCGTCTCCGAACTTTCTCTCCTCGTCCACGCCCAGTCTCACGAGCCGAACCACAACCCGCGGGATAAAATACACAAAAGATACCCGCCGCCATGCCATCTCAGACTACTACGTCATCGACAAAGCCATCGAAGCTGACTTTATAAACCTCGTCGACGAAGAGGGTGCCATTCACAAGAACGTCCCTCTGCAGGAGGCGCTGTCAAGCATAAACAAAGTCACCCACCACGTTGTACAAATGGTACCTGGGAAATACGACCAAGATGGCTTCCTAGATCCGGAGAGCTTGCCGACATGCCGCGTTATTTCCAAAATTAACCTACGCGCCCAACACCAAAAGAAACTGGACACAATGCGACGGCAAGCCAAGGGACTGAGTGCGGGGTCAGGACTTTCTTCAAAAACGTTGGAGTTGAATTGGGCAATTGCGCCGGGGGATCTAAAGCATAGGCTGGCTGCCATGAAGAAGTTCCTCAAGGAAGGGCGCAAGGTGGAGGTTATGCTTGGGCGGAAGAAGGCTGGTAGGAAAGCGACGCTGGAAGAGGCGGATGCGGTGATGAAGGCCATTGATGAAGCGGTGGAAGAGTGCAAGGGTTCGCGAGAGACTAAGCGCGAGGGACAGGTTGGAGGTATCCTGAAGGTTACATACGAGGGTAAGAAGATTGAGAAGGAGAACAAGTCGAAAGATGCAGAGGCGTGAGGATGGTCCAACGTGATCTGGATGAACGAACCTTCAGAAAAAGTACCGCAGGTGCACGAGCAAAATGCCGAGCCGCGGATAGCTCAACTCAATACGAAAGAAGCGAAGATGGGGAAGGAAGAAGGAACGTGAATAGTTCCCGTGCATGTAGCATACTGTACAACATACAACATCACACGTGGTGTAACGATTCATGAACATCTATAGATACATTGTATAATATCACATATCAAAAACCTCATAACTTCTTCACTTCCTTGGCCGGCTCAGCCTTTGTCTCAACTCCAGTCGCAACATCCACCTCCTGCACGTCCTCACCCTCGATCGTCTCGCGTTCGGCCATGTCAGCCGCTATTTCCGCACTCTTGGCCTGAAGCTTCTCCTCACAAAGCCTAACCTCTTCCCTTGTCTTCTGCTGGCCAGCGAAGTGGCCCTTGAGAGTGGCAACGACATTCTTCTGCTTGGCGAATTCGAGCCTAGACTCCAAAAGTAGTAGTTCTGCATTGTCGACATTGGTCCTCTCGCCGCTAGCCAATTCCAACTGTTCTTCAGCTCTCGCTTCATCCCCAGTCAAACGGAAAGCTTCAGAGCGGTGCTCGTGGATTTGTGCTGCGAGTAACGCCGCCTCATACTCTACTTCTGCCTTCCGTACTTGAAGCTCCCCCAATTCGACCATGATCTCTTCAGACTCCAGTCTGTTGGTGTTCAAAGCTCTGCCAGCAAGGTCATGTTTCGTGTTGATTTGGTAAGTTATAGTCTGGATGCGAGGCCACTCGTCACTCTCCGGGGAGATGAGATAGTCGTTGAAAGAACGGCCGGTCTTCTCGGCGAATTGCAGTTCCTTGGCTTCGGAAAGGAGGTTGTAGGCGGATATCGTGAGTTCGGAACGTTTGGGTCCTTGAGGCAGAGATTCAGCGTAGGCGTAGCGCGTACCTGCCACATTTTCGTAGACTCCAGCGCGCATGACATCTTTCTCTTTAGGGTCGGAGAGGGAGAGTTCGCGGAATTCTTCCCAGCCGATGGTCGATTCGAGCTCGGTGGGTGGCGATGATCGGACAAGGCTCTTGTGCCAGGGCGTGATGGCCTTGTGTGTGATATCCTCCTCATGAGCAAGGAGGATGTTGTGCAATGCGTCACGCTCGATGATGACGCGCGACAGTTCGAGGAGGTTTTTGACGTCGACTTCCTCCCATGTGAGCGTTTGTTCACCACGATCCATCTCTACCAACGCCTGCTCCAATAACGGTCGCTCTTCCAACGTGACCATCAAACTCCTGCCCTTACCGTGTAACTTTTCGTGGTACTTGAGGATATCGCTCAGTAACTTTGTTGATGGGCTTTCAATCTCCATCGCGTTGTCCACAATGATCAGTTCGCCCTTCCTGAACCGGTACGAGAGTGCTGTCCGCCATGCGAGGTCGTAAACCTTCTTAGGCAGTTCAGTCGCAAAGTCGCGGGGCTTGGGGCCATGAGCGACACCTCCACCTTTCAGCATGGGCGACTTCTTGTCTCCCAGACGAGCGCGACCGGTTCCCTTCTGCGGCCGGATCTTTCTTGCTGAACCTCGTACTTCATATCTTGTCTTTGTCGAAGCAGTACCTAACCGGGTACTATCTCCTTCGTAGATGACAGCGCGGTGTAGTATGTCTCGTCGGGTGGGCAGGTATAGGTGATTTGCAGGGTATTCTTCGAATCGGAGCGGTTCCAGAGAAGGGAATTGGTGGATAGTTGCGAGAACTGTCTGCTGCTCAAAAGGCTTAACAGGCACATATCCGGAGTCATGGGCCTTGGCATTTATCGACGATAGCGTGGCCTTGGAGGGGGCAGATGTGGTTATTGAGCGGCTGGTGGGCGTGCATAGAGATTTCTTAACGACGTTAGCATGTCGCATACAATGACGGCGAAACAACATACGGCGCAGCGCGTACACAGCGCATTCGGCCGTATCGACAGACTTCTCAATTGATGTGTGACGCCACGCATGGGCGCGGATATCCTCGTGGAAGCCATGCCGGTCGGGGTGGTTCAACTGTTGAAGTCGTCGGAGTTGGAGGCGGAGGTCTACGAAAAGCGCTAACGTGAGGATCACCACATTTTCCAGCGGGCACCATCGTTCTTGAACACCGTCCAAGCCATCAACACCATGGCCTCCACGCCAACACTGCGCCAATTCAGCGCATGTCTACGATGCGTGCGACAATTGCCAGCCGCCAATGGCACCCGTCGCCTCCTCTCCACCTCGGCCGTAGCTCGTGAAGAGGTGCAGACACAACCCACGAATGCGACACCACCACCACCGCCCTCGAACCCACCGGAAGGCGCTGCCCAGAAGGCTGGCTCTCAAGAAACCCCAGAATACATGCAGAAATGGGGTACTCTAGACCCTCAGATGGTTGAGAACAAGAAGCAGGAACGCCGACTGTTGCGGAGAGAACATGTCCAACCCGTTGGATCCCGTCGTCGCCGTGCTGTTCTTCGTCGATCGACCATGCAGAAGGCCGATGAGGTTCCCTTCGAACAATTGCCATACCAATGTTTCCAGGAGGCGAGAAAGGTCTTGTTGGAAGACAGGCAGGAAAAGATCAAGGAAATCGAGACCCAGCAGTTGCGGATAAAGAACCTGATGGCCCAAGATCCAAGCACCAGTGGAGGTCCGGCAGCCAAGGAGCATCGATTGCGGAGTATGAAGCAGCACCTTCAAGAGCTGATTATCCTGGCCGACATCAACGACCCGGTTGTGAAGCGGAAGTTTGAGGACGGACTGGGTAGGTATTGTCAATTTAGATGCTACCAACTTGACTGACTTGTGCAGGTAACATGAACAAGCCAATCTATCGCTACCTTGCCGAAAAGAAGTGGCGCCAGTTCAAGCGCCGTGTGCTGGAACAACGTATCACACAACTTGCGATCGTTCCCGACCTTCTCCCCTCGCTGAATTTGGTAGCAGACATTGACCTCGGTTTTGGGCGAAAGCCGGTGGCGCCCGGAGACTTCGTGGATTCTGCCATCAGTGAGAAGATGCCTCGTCTCAACGTTCAGACCTTCACCCCTGGTGAGAAGCTGGTTACTGTGGTAGTAGTAGACGCAGATGTGCCAGTCACAGAAAAGGACGGCTTCACTTACCGATGCCACCTCATCGCCTCCAACATATCAATCTCACCAAGCAACACTTCGATACCTCTTCAGCGCATCGCTCAAGAAGATCAGAAAACTGAAGATTTCAGTGCCAAGAAGATTGCGCTGCCCTGGGTTGCTCCCTGGGCTCACAAGGGTGCGCCATACCATCGCCTAGGCATTTTTGTCTTTGAGCAAAACGAAGGCAAGGCGCTCGATGTCACCAAGTTCAACAAGACTCAGCGTATGGGGTTCAATCTCCGCAGCTTTGCTGATTCGAACAAGCTGAACGCAATCACAGCTACGCTGTTCAGAACGAAATGGGATGAGAGCATGGCTGGTGTCATGGACCGCGCAGGTCTGAAGGACCAGATTGCTGTAGAGTTCAAGAGGAAGAGGGTCGAGCCGCTACCTTACAAGAGGCGAACGGAGCGCATGCGCTGAGGGCACAAGAGACGCATATAGTGGATGTATTAGTCATGTAAGCCATATGTACAATACAAGATGAACACAGCTGCAGCTTCGATCTGTCGTGCTTGGACTCTGCGAGCGTGGACTCTGCGAGCGTCGCACGGCCGAGTGTAGCAGAGGTAATATACCACAGCAACGAAAGCGACTGCATTCAGCTCGAGACGAACGGCATGAACTCTCACTGTAGTTCCTCCAATATCATCCAGGATCGAAGATAGTGACAGAGAGATTGCTAGGAGTGACATTCGTTCTTTCCATTCGCAGTCGCGGGGGTTGTCTCCTTCCTGCTCTCGTCATCTCACCTCTCAAGGTCGTCACTTCTATCTTCCGTCGATCTGCCTCATCTTCCTATCATTGCCTTTCATTCCTATGTCATAGCAACCACCGTGTACAAATTTTTTCGTCGACTCTCCTGCAGTAGGCCACTGCCACCTGTTTGACTTCCTTCCAGCATCACCATCGTCATGACGCAGAACGCGCTCTCGCGCCCGCCCTTCCCTCCGTCTGAGCAACAGATGGCACTTGCTCTTGCCATTGTTCGGACCAAACCAGCCGGGATGCAAGTACGAGGTACATTCAAACCTTTGAAAAAGATCCACACTTTCTGATATCGTTAGACTACGTTCTGCAGCTACGTGCCCAGACTAAGCCCGGTCTCGGCCCCAGAGAGCGAGAAAATCCTACATGCTATGTTGACGAAGTCGCCTACTGGAAGAATCGATGTCAAAAGGCCGAAGATGAATGTGAGAAACTTCAAGGTGTCAATATTAAGCTCGAAAGATCGAACCACTTACTGTCGAGCCTGTCCGGTCCCGTCTTGGATGTTGATGCAGCTGCCTACACCACCAAGCGCAAAGCACCATCAGCGTCACCCACGAGATCCAAGCCGTCGAGACAAGCACAAAAGCAATCGCCAACGGCCGCTGCTCAAGAAACTATCGACAATGACCTGGATTTCTTGGAAGTGCTGGGCAGGGATGGTTCCAAACTCATGGAAGCTTTATACACTACGCACTCACTGTGCCGGTCCGACGAGCCTGACACTGAGGCTCTCTGCTTCAATCTTGTACGAATTGCTTCAGGCATTGGCAAGGTCATACTCATTGTCGCTCAGAACCACGAGCTGCTCTCTCGTCAAGGGCGGAGAAGCGCTAAAGCCATGTCGTTCGACAAGGACAAATCTGACTTCGCTGTTGCCCTCTCTGTCTGTGCTAGAGCCTTCATGTCGTTACTCGTTGGTACAAATAAGCTCGTGGGGTGCAAAGCAGATGTGCGACTTGCTAGCCTGGTCGTCTGTGAGGTAGCAGGGATGTTCAACGCCGCGTTGCAATCGATCGAGATATCAGCTCGACGTACAGCGGAGACTTCCTTGTCGCCAACCTCTTCACCAAATAAGACGAAGACGAAAGCGCCGTCTCCGGTCGTGAAAGAGTCCGCTCCGGCTAGAGCAGTTGCTCACTTGTTGATCAGCTTTCTCGGATTCCTCGAGAAAACCGACTCTGTGCATCAAAAGATCTTCGATGGCTTCGTCTTCGTCCTGTTCGAACGCGTGGGAAAGAGGTTGTATTATTTTACGTTCGGACAGCATCGCAGTACTTCTATCGAAGGCAACATCTTGCCACCGCCCGAGCCGAGAGATGCTGCTGAGGCGACAACACGGGATAGCGACTCCCTAGCCACCCGTCTTGAAGTGAAGGCACTCGTATTGATCCTTGAACGAGCAATGGGTTTAGCTCCAAACCACATGAATCCCCAGAACGCTCGCCCTAACTCGGCATCTAACCGACCCGCCCGTACAATGAGCACCAAAACTCCAGTGACGAGCACCAGGGCGCGCTTGAGCCCTCTGGCAAGAGACCGCTTGCAACGAACACTTGTTGCGTGCATGTATGGGAACAACACTAACGACGAGTTCCTGGATGTTCTCACAAAGCCTGTTCCAGCTATGCGACTTGGTTCCATGCAAAATGTAGCCAAAGTCGACGACAAAGATGTGCAGACATGGTACAAGGAGGAGGTTTGGCGACTCGTAGGGTGGGATATCCTGGCAAGGGAGGGCGCGTGGTGAAACAAAGGAATAGATGACGACGAATTCGAAAAAGAATTAAACTAGGTTAAGATATAGGGAAGTCCGCCAAGTCTAGTTGCTGGCTTCCTGCGCCAACCGGAACTGACTGACAAACCTCCGCTCTACCGCCGACCTTTTCGCGCTTTCTAGTTCATCTGTATCTGTCTTCGTTTCATCCTTTGTTCCCCATCCCCCTCCACCAGGTGTGTCGATCACAAAGCAATCGCCCTTCTGTACAGCAAAGTCCTTACGTCCACCCAACCTACACCACCTCCCACCGACTTTCTTGACGACGTAGTTCACTCCACTACTTCCGTCTTCCCCACCCAACATACCATAAGGTCTAGTAACCCGCCTTTCACTGACGATACTTGCATTCATATCGCGGTAAAACTCGTACACCCTCCGGATACCATTCCCACCACTCCAACGCCCTTTGCCACCTGATCCATCCCGTATACTAAACTCGCGAAGAAGCACAGGATACCTCTTCTCCAGTAGTTCTGGGTCCGTGATACGGGTGTTCGTCATATGGATATGTACTCCGGAAGTTCCGTGCCAGCCAGGTCCCGCGCCACTACCTCCGCATATCGTTTCTCCGAAGCCGAAACCGGAGTCTGGAATGAGGTTGCCAGTGTCGTCATTGTCACCGTTTATGCCAAAGGAGAAGACGTTGCAGTCACCTTGGCTTGCGGCACATGCTTCGAAGGCGCGGTTCACGACGTCTGTTACGCGTTGGGATGTAATAGGATTTCCAGCGCATACTGCGGCATATGGTGAGGGGGTGAGGATACTTCCTTTTGGAATTGTGAATGTGAGAGGGCGGAGGCAGCCTTCGTTCAGCGGAATGTCTTGGTTTATGAGGCAACGGAGCACGTAGAGTGTTGCAGATCTGGCAATTGCTTGTGGAGCGTTGAAACTGTGGTAGCCTTCTTCGCCTGTTCCAGTGAAGTCGAAGTGGGCAGACCCGTCATCTGGGTCGATGGTTATCGCGAGTTTTATGGGGGTGCCGTCATCCATGTAGTCGAGTGCGGTGAGGATCTTACCGCCAGTTTCATGATAAGTGCGCTTCATGAATTCCCGCACACACGACTCGGCGTTCGAGGTGATGGCATGCATGTTGAGGTGTACAATGGCGAGACCTCTTTCAGCGATGAGATCGGCTACCAGTGCGGCACCTTTGGCGTTGGCTGATACCTGTGCTTTGAGGTTGTTGATATTATCGGCTAGCTTACGTGTTCCTGAGCATCCTGCATACTGTGCTGGATCATGGAGTAGCACTCTTGTAACCAGCTCTTCGTCGAAGACTCCATCGCGAACAAGATACTCTGAGACTATCGTAGCGCCTTCTTCGTGTAGCTCAACGCTACCAGCTGGCATTGAGCCTGGGAGTATTCCACCAATTTCTTGATGATGACCTATCGAAGCTGTGTAGAATATGACAGTCTCGCCCGCATGGTCGAAGACAGGTGTTACGCAAGTGATATCAGGAAGGTGCGTGCCGCCGGAAATTGGGTGGTGAGCCTGAATCCGCTGTCCGAGCTGCAAAGGGCTATGGGAATGGTATTCGTCTATCATGGGCATGGCATACAGAGGCGGAGATCATTGAAGGTGTCAAAAGACTAGGTGCGTTGATTGAGGGGGCCGACTAGGAACTTCAACCGTTAGACATGTAGTTGATACACATCGAAACGTTTACTATCTACATATTTACTCTCGAGATGGTGGTGTAAGCAAGCCCCCGTTAACAGTATGTGATTGGCCATGCTTCCTAATACTGCCCTCAAGGAAGAACTTGAGGACCATACTAGCTGCCATCACAGAATCGTCGTCTGCATCAATATCATCAAGTGTCTCTTCCAAGACTTTTGGTTGCCAACCCGGGAAGAAATATTTGACCGTCTCACTATTGATGAAACGATCAAACTCGAAGTGGCCTTGAAATGTAAGGACACGACCTGGTTCGTATATTCCCTGTACCGCGCAATGCTGAGTATTTCCTACCGTCATCCAGGACTGTGGCAGGGCCTCCATATCTGGCACAACCACGTGGTCATGGTGTACAAACTGCAATCTCATTTTCTCCAAGCCACCCGCTTCAACACCTTTGTCGTTCCCAAAGAATTTGCCCCGAAACTGTTGATGTAGTGTGATCTCCTTGACTCCTAGCTCCCAGCCTTTTGGATCTTTCTCTACCTTAACGCCATAGTCTTTTAGCAAAGCTTGACATACTAGCTGGTGACCAAAACAGCTCCCAAATATCTTCAAACTCGGTTCGTTTTCGTACACTTCCTTCACCCATCGTTCAAGTTTGCGTATCCAGGGCAAATCATCATATGCAGAGTTCGCTGAGCCAGAAATGATGATGGCATCGAATTCTGTTATCGAAGCTGGGTATTCGTTTACCACGACATTGAAATCCGTAGACGTAATGCGGACGAGATTTTTCGATGGATGTAGCGATGATTTGGTATTGTTGGCGGCGGAAGAGAGGAGATCGTGGAAGACACGTCCGTAGGTGGGGGCACGTTTGCCAGCCACCACCGGCACCGGTGCGTCAGCGTTCAGCATACAAATGCGAAGAACTTGTGCCATGATTTTACCAAGCGAGTATATGGATTTCAAGTCGCCTGTCTAGTGTCAAGTAAGTCTTTCGATACTGATCCATTTATCTTGCTCTATGTCACTTTCGATATATGGGTCTAAATTCGGCCGTGCACGTGACAGCCGCCGATAAGCGGTTGACGCTTGTCGCGACTTCCTCGCGACTTGCCACGTCTTTCCACCACGGTCTACTCACTTGGTCTACCCTGACCAAACACAACGCTGTCTCAGTTCTAGTCGCCTAGATACCTCTGTCGCCTGTATACGCGATGGTCGCACTATTGTGCGGACGGGAAACAATCGGACATTGCGCGCCGATGTAGTCACGGTATTAGTATGCCCGGCACTTCACAGACCATCACCTTGCTGCATGCGTACTTCATGGCATATCTATGTCGTCTACCCATACAGATCCCAGCTCTCGGGATTTGAGGGCCTCGGAGCTAGCACTATTGAGGCATAGTGGGATAGCCTGGTAGTCCACGCTTGGTCGTGACCCACTGGCGGAGTCGAGAGTCCGAAGCGTCAGCTCTTTGTTCCCTCAACGCTAAGCAACGTACATGGGCATGCGAACCGGTTGATCATTGCCGTCGCCAAAACGCGGAGAAAACGAGCGCCCACGAGTCAAGGATGTAGTGATAGTCTTATCGAGCTGGCCTCTAATGGCCCATATCACGTTCAACCGCTGTCTAGCTGGAGATAGTAACACCCAACGAGATACCAAGATACACATTCGCGATATGGTTCTTGATCGTGATCCAGCTTTTGTATAAATCACGAGCCTGGTGAACGTGTTCGAAACATCTCACAGGAACTTCTTTTTGCGTCCCAATCTTCACCCATTTACCAATATCATGGCCGAGGATAGCAAGATCATGTCGTCTGCCGACGTCGAAGATACGCACTCCGTCAAGATCGGCGAAGTCGCTTCAGCCAATATTGATGTCGCTGCTGCCTACGCCCATCACCTTGAGGGCGAGAATGCGTACACCAGAAAGGGAGCAACACATCTACGATGGAAGCTGGACTTGCGTCATCACGCTGGGCGCTATGGACAAAGTTACGACAGCTACGGCTGCCCTGTATGGCTTCCGGGCTGACACCGGGTTGACTGGAGATCGATATAGCTGGGTTGGCAGTGCCTTCTACGTAAGCAAGTCCATTCAGCGTCGCATTTGTACTGCTAACGGTGATGAATAGTTTGGCTACCTGGTATGGTGTCTTCCCAGTGGCAGCCTCCTTCAGCGCTTTCCGATCGCCAAGCTCATGTTCGTCGTTCAACTTCTTTGGGGCTGTATACTCATTGCGATTGGCTTCGCAAACAACTTCCCAACTCTCATTGCACTACGTGTGCTGCTTGGAGCCCTTGAAGCGCCGATCGTACCGCGCAATTTCCTTATCATCGGCATGTGGTATCCTCGACGTGAGCAACCACTTCGAACAGGCCTGATGTATACTGGACTCTCAGTATGCTTCACTGGTCCGATTGGTTATGGAATTGGTTTCCTCGCAGGCGAACACCAATGGAGTGCCATGTTTTGGATTACAGGTGCGATGACCATTGTGTGGGCTTGTGTGATCGGCATCTTCTTGCCTGACAATCCCGTCAAAGCGAAGTTTGTTACGGAACGGCAAAAGGCAATTGTGATCGACAAAATCCGGCAAGATCAGACTGGAGTGGAAAACAAGACGTTCAAGAAGGAACAGATGATTGAAGCCTTCCTCGATCCGAAGACCTGGCTGATGTTCTTCTTTCACATTTGGATTAGCAGTAAGGAAACCTGAGGTACCAACACTACAGACATGAGCTAACATCCCCAAGTTCCGAACGGCGGTCTAAAGAACTTCACGCCTCTTATCATCAAAGGCCTCGGTTATACATCACAGCGCTCGACGCTCCTCACGATGCCTACCGGTATCTTACAAACCGTGGCATCGTACGTATGTAACGGTGGGGTCTTCTTGACCGCGAAATACTTCCCTGCGAAGCAGCTGCGAACTGCTTGGGTCATGTTTGGTATCATCGTTGGCATGATATCCGCAGTCTTCCTCTACGTCTTGCCCCTCGACAACTATAACGGACGTCTCGCGGCACTATACTGTTTATACTTTTACCTTGGTCCATACATTGTTTCATTTGGTATCAACACGGCAAATACCGCGGGCCATACTAAGAAAGTCACAGTCAATGCGCTGGTCTTCATCGCCTATTGTGTTAGCAATATTATCGCTCCACAGTTCTTCAAGGCTGATCAAGCTCCACTGTACCCACTTGGTATGGGTGCCGTTCTGGGTAGCTACGTGCTATCGATCATCACCATCGCCATGTACGCAACATACTGTTGGTACGAGAACCGGAGGCGTGATCGGATTGATTCCGACAAGGGTGGGAGAGTGCATGCAGACACCGACTTCCGCGACCTGACTGATAAGCAGAATGTGCATTTCCGATACGTATGGTAGGTGCGAAAGAATACGAGGTAGCATATATACAGATTTGCAGGATCAAAAATACAACCGACTGCGCAAAGCCTACAGAACTCTCGCCGTATTTGTGTCATCGATTCGTGTTAGATGCTAGTTGTGATCTAAAGACTTCCCAAATTTTGATCAAGATCAGTACAGCCAATAACTTATGTAACTATTTGCTACAGCAAAATTACTCAACAATTTGCTTGTCAAATGTCTATTCCCAGTGGATGAAACTGTGTTCGCGTTGATCGGAAGTCGCGAACCGATCAAGCATACCGTACGCCCCCGCACGTCAAAAGTGGAGCACCTCGTGGATTGGCTTGTCCCTTGATAACGGAGTTTGTCGGACTTCAAAGTGCGACGCTGCGACAGCACCCGGCTCATGCACCTTTGCGTAGTGGGGAAGCTACATACCCTGCATATGCTAGATGACAAGGGTAGCAACCGTTTTCGTGCATCGCACGTTGGGAAAGCTACCATAAGAAGGAGACGAAATTTATGGATAAATGGTCTTCAGTACCCTTTCGATATAAACATATCGTCCTCCAAGCTAGGGAACTCGATAAACATAATCATATATCATTGCAACATATCCAACACCATGCCAGAATTTCAGATATTAGTTGAAGATGAGCAAAAGGCTTTCGAGGCTGATGTAGCTGCGATTGAGAATCAATGGAGCTCCGCAAGACAATCCCACTTGAAGCGGTATGTAAACTTCACAAGTTATTACGAGAAACAATTCACAATAGAGTTGAGCTGATTTCATACATAGACCATACTCTGCAAGCACTATAGCCGCGCTTCGAACGTCCATTCCCGCACCCTCAGATGCCTCTTCGGCCCAGGCCATCAAGCTTTGGAATCAACTGCACGCCCACAACAAAGCTGGCACATGCGAGTTGACATTCGGTACTACAAATCCCGTTACGGTTTCGCAGATGACCAAGCACCAGCAAACCGTCTACTTCTCTGGTGCTTTATGTGGGTTCTCAGAAGTCGCGCTCCCGGGAATGGACCACGCCGACTATCCTTGAGATACCGTGCCGAAGGTTGTGTCAAAGATCTTCAAGAGCCAACTTTGGCATGATAAGCGACAACGACAGTACCGATTGCGACATCCGATCGAAGAGCGACAAGGACTGGAGAACTGGGATTATATGGCGCCTATCGTCGCGGATGGCGATACGGGCTTCGGTAGCCTCACTAGTACGATCAAAATGGCACGCGAGTTTGTGGACACTGGTGTGGCTATGATACACATCGACGACCTAGCCATCGGCATGAAGAAGTTCACAGTTGGTCAAGGGCGGACTATCGTACCCACTCAGGAATACCTGGATCGTCTGACAGCTGTGCGGATGCAATTTGATGTCATGGGCGCGGAGACGCTACTGTTGTGCCGCTGCGATACAGACCATGCTGAATTCATCACCAGTGTCGTCGATGAGCGTGACCATGAATACGTGCAGGGCGCAACGAAGGAGGTTGAGCCACTGCAAAAGTGCGTTCAGGCCGCACAGATCGAAGGTAAAGATTTGAAGGTTGCACGAGACGAGTGGAAGGCCAAAGCGGGAATCAAGACATTCGACGAAGCTGTAGAGGCCGTTGCGACGGAAGAAGAGTATGCCGCATATAAGGCAGAGCTGTCGAAACAGAAGTTCGCGTCCCTGTCCGATCGTCGCAATATCGCAACCAAGACCGTCCAACAGGAAGTGATTTTCGACTGGGAGCTATCGAGATCAGCCATGGGTCAATATATGCTGAAAAGCTGCGTCAAAGGCACCGTCGAGCGTGCCATCGCCGCTGCACCGCTTGGAGACGTAACTTGGGCACGTATGGATTCACCTAACTGGGGAGACATCGTTGAATTTCACACAGAAGTTCGGAAGGTGTATCCGGACAGACTTTTCGCCTTTGGCTACACCGGCGACTACGACTTTGGGAAAGCCGGCTTCAGTGAGAACCATGTTAAGAACCTACATCTTGACCTTGCCAAGCTAGGAATCGTGTGGCAGGTCCAACCGATCTGGAGTCTGCAAGGCCTGAACATGGTGACGGAACAATTCGCAAAGATGTGGCAGGAGCAAGGTATTGCTGGCTACTTGAAGTCGATCCAAGGTCCAGCTCTTAATTCAAAGCCTATGACGGACGGCTTCGAGAAATTGAGCTATTGCGGTGGGTACCTGGCAGATGCATTCTTTGAGACAGTCGCAGGAGAGTCAATTGTAGAGAAAGGGAAGGCTGCCAACTTCCAGAGACACTGATAGCTGTAATATCTTAAACATATCATGGCTGATAAAACCTCATCCTTCATTGGTGCCTCATGTCCAGCCGTCGAAATCGAAAACGCCAGGGAATGAGAGCAGCCCCTCGACATCCGGATCGTGAAGCCCAGGTTCCGCCATTCCATACTCGAACGGCTGTTGCATGGCGAATGGCATCTGAAAATTTGCATTGATTTGCTGTAGCTGAGAGTTGAAATGATCCTCAGATTCCTGCTGGGTTGGGCCGAGCATGCCAGCGACTGACGGAGGCTGAGAAGGTTGAATGGAGCGAGGAAAGTCTTCGTGTATCATCTCATCGATCATGCGTAACACGGGGCGATGCACCACTAGTGCAAGAACCTGTGGGAGGTGCGCTTGAATCGCCGTGACCGTTTTGTCTGATAATCGGGTCGGTGGCTTATTGGGTCGATCGACTAGCGGTATCTCGCGCGCCAGTAATTCAAAGACGTCTCTCAGACATTCCGCCTTGGCCCATCGGTCTGCCATTATCGCCAGAATATTGGAGCAGGCACGTAACGCGTCGGGAACGTCAAGGGAAAAGTAATTTTCAGTTCTTTGTTCTGGTGGAGTAGCCCAGAAACAGTACAGCAGTGTGATGCCGGACTGGAACTGAACGAGAAGCTGCTGATATTAGCGGGAGCATCATCGGACGTGAATCATACTCACTGCAAGCCATGGTTGAGCAATCTGACGATCAATCTGGGTTCTTCGAAACATTAAACAAGCTTGACTGCTGGCTTGGACTGACTGCAGGAGCGAGAATACAAAGTCAGTGTGTGATTAATGTGCATTCCGTGCAGTAATGGCTTACCCAGTCGCCAGCAGACCCGACTACGTTGGCTTTTGTTGGCCGACAGAGCATGAGCAACGTGTAGTGATAAATCATAGCTTGCCAACGTTGCGACGTGTAGCCTTTCGACTGTGGATCTGAGAAATTCTTTACACAGGACTTAAAGTTGTCCAGTTCTGTAAGAATTCTTATTCGCCAATCCGAAGTGTTCTCGAACTGAGTGTCATAATCCCATCGAAGTGTAACGGCACTAATCTCGGATTGTATACGCCTACATTGGAGTATATGAAGCGCTGAAGAGTTGCATGTATAATGCTGAGAGTCAGGTAAGTCATGACTGGGCGGAGTAATCGCAGCGGTTTCCCATATTTCATGGTCCTTGATATTAGCAAATGGTCTTACGGTTATCATATAGTCTGGTATCGATGGAGGCAGATCGAATGATGACATGACCAGTCGATCAAGCAAATACGCACACCAAAAGCACCGTCGACGGACTTGAATCATAAGCCTCCTTTGAACGTTCGCTGATGGCGGCTCCATCTCACCGAGATGTAGTTGTTGCTGAACGCATTGTCGCATAGCCGTGGATGCAAGAGAAATAATACGTTCCGTGGAGCTCTGATGCAGTGCATGAATGGATAGCAGGAGATAGGCTTGCACCTGAAGAATTCTATCTGGCTGACGTAGCACAGCCGGTAGCAGCGAAATTCCACTGTTGTAAAACTCTCGCGCATTAAGTGCTGCCGCATACGGTTGACGCAGAAGCACTAAAGATGTTGCGTACACTAGGTTGACAAAAAAGCCTTCCCATGCTCGTTCTTTGAGGTCGCAGGAGAGGCAATGCTTCCATTCCGAATGCCATGTGAGGAATGTGTCCCAATGGAAGAAGGGATACTGAGCTTGAGCACGCTCGCGATACGCGTCAAGCAATGCTTCCTCTAACTCTGGAGACATGGTAGCCATCAGTGCGTGTGCGCTATTCACAATGGCTGGTGCCGGTCCCGGGTTGGTTGGACTGATAGCAGCATCGTGAGTTGAGAACTGAGCTGATGGCGATGCAATTAGTCCAAAGACGAGATGATTAAGGTCGGGCTCATCATCGAGACCAGGAGCTATAGCGTAACCTGGCGACGAGCCAGAAAGAATGGACGAGCGTCGCGGTGGGACGGTTCGTTGAACCGGTGGACTGGCAATCGCGCCCATGACACCGCCATTTCGAATCCCACTGCTCGCCGGCGATGTGTCGGGATTATTTTCTTGATCAGGCCTGTCAGAACATCTCTCGAGGTGGTCGAGACTGTGCTGTGGGTCTAAAGACTCGAGCTCAGCAACGCGTCGTTCCAGAATGCGCACATATTCGCTTTCAATGTGTGGAAGAGGCGCAGGTTGGGTGGGCAGACAATTTTCATCTCCTTTGATACAGTTCTGACATGGTCGACGGTCTTCGCACTTCTGTTTCCGGGAGCGACATCGCTGTCAAGCCAAGGTCCGTTGCTTTTTGGGTGCCGGCTCCTGTGAGGGACTGGCAGGTTCATGCTCCATCGCTTGTGCTCTTCGGTTTTCCTTCCATGCTTGAATCACGCTATCAGTCGCAATTTGTTTGGTATTGTGATAGCGCACTTCGAGGCAGTGCAGGGTGTCGCGGTGATAGCAATGCCGGTTGCCGGATCAGCACACGATAGGGATGGGAAACGATGCCGAAAGAGGCTACGCGTCCACGTGACTGACCTGCAATCTCCACTTCCAAGGTCATGCCCCGCTCATCGAATCTCCTGGTCTGAAGTCGCTCCAATGTGACACCACCCTTCATCAAGAAGACGAACAACTACTTCTCATTCTAATTCCAAGTACTGTAGTCTCATGCATGATCTCCAATTGCCAGGTACAGCTCGCCGCACGCGCCAGCATGACATGCAGGCGGCTGACGCCATCTGAAGAAGCTTGTTTGTTAGAGCCGAAGGGTCTGTGCGGATCTCCGGGCTTCTTCATACTAAGTTCCACTACACCCGCACGGCCCGCGCTGGGGAAACTGTTCGTGTCTATTAGCCGGTGCCGTCGAGAGCTATGAAGTTGGCAGCACATGTGTCGGCACGTTACTCTATGTGCTAGGAGCTCCTCACTATGTCTTTGAAGGCTTGGTCCATGAGTGACTGCCATCACAACGTGGTTCACACTGCTACATGACGTCCGCGCCACGCTATGTTACGAAGCCTCAGCCTCATTTCGGTCCGCGAACAAGTTCTAAAGGACCGAAGACCGAACAAAGGTGGAACAATTCCGCGATTACTCAAGCAGAACAGGAGACAGTGATCGTAATTAATCTGTAGTGATAGCATCGTTAGCGTAACGGTCTGTGAGTAAAGTTTTCTTCAGTATAAGATGTAGGTATGCTGTGCCTCGATTGTAACTGCGCCACCACTTCAGCAATCGACCGACGCAAACCATCATGCGCTCTACATTCTCCAGCCTGGCACTCTTTGCCGGAGCCTCTCTAGCAGCTTATGCCCCAAACACGACTTTCGAGCGGGAAACACGCAGCATTGATGAGATCTACAAAGCAGCTCTTGCCGAAGGTGGCGTCGTTACTCTTTGGCATGGCGGTGACGAGAAAACCCAACAGAATGGGTTGAAAACAGCCTTCGAAACAAGGTTCCCCAACATGACGCTCAACGTCACTGTCGATCTCTCCAAGTACCACGACGGCAATCTTGATGATCAGCTGGCAGCCGACAATGTTTACGTTGATAGCATTATCCTGCAAACGCTGCACGATTATCCACGCTGGAAGAAAGAAGGTGCTTTGATGAACTACGCGCCATTGAACTTCGACAAGGTATACCCTGTGTTCAAGGACGCGGATGCAGCCTACAGTGGACTGCTCATCTTCAACTGGGGGTATGATACTCTCCAAACTGGCATCTTTTCCACAAGCTAAAACAACAATAGAATCTCCGCCAACATGAACAAGACTAGCACGCTACCAACATCGTACCAAGACTTTACCAAGCCCGAGTTCAAGGACAAGATTGTTCTGACCTATCCCAACGATGATGATGCAGTACTATACCAGTTCGAGCTCATGTAAGTCTATTCCATCCTACTTCGTATAAAGATCGACTAACAACATCCCTAGCCTACAGGAGCTTGGTCAGGAATGGTTTGACGCGCTGCTTGCCAACAACCCTCGCTGGGTACGCGGCACAGCTACCCCTGGCGCGCTCGTTCGTGCCGCCAACAGCAGTAGCGCAGTAACCTTCACTGGAGGCTCGTCATTCACGGACCAGCTGCCGATTAGATATTCACTACCCAGCGATGCTAACTTTACCTCTTGGGCTCAGACTGGCGCCATCTTGAAGAAGGCACCACACCCCGAAGGCGCAAAACTGCTGCATAGTTTCATGCTCAGCGACGAATACCAAACCGGTGGCAGCTGGAGTGTTCGCGAGGATATCCCAGCGGGTAAGGGTGCGGAGCCCATCCTCCAGCAGCCTGGCACAGATGCTCCTGCGTTCGCGACGTGGATGGCAGACCGTAACAATGTCGAAAGGCGAAGGTTCTTTTACGAAGACAAGATCGGCACTGCCCAAGGTCTTAGCCCGCTCATTGACGACTTGTAAGCGTACTTTCACATTAAGGATCGAGAAAGCCGCGCATTCGAGTGTCAAGTGAGTTGAAAAGTCGTGTAGACCTCCAAGCGACGCAGGGCCTGGTATGCGTCCGTCCAAGCATTCGGTCAAATTCGAGTAGTATATATTATCATAGTGTTCTATACCAATTCGCCCATACTTTTAAGAATCTCGGCTTCCATCTTCTTCATTCTGAGTCTCTTTTCAAGTTCGATTACATCCGCTTTGTATACTGACATTGCCTTTCATGCAGGACTTCCTTACTTGATGGCTACTCTGACACCATAGGAAGCGGTCATAGTTCGTCAGAATACCTCACGCGTGTCAGGTTCCAGAAAAGCACGGCCTCAGACATGGAAAGGTCTTTTTCGGTGAATAGCTCCAGAGATAGACAGTAATCTGCAAGCGGCAAGAGGTCAAGTTTCTTGAGGCAATATTAGTCTCTCCAAACGTTTTGTGGCTCTTCTCTCACTTTCATCACTCGCTCACTCACCAGATGCAGTAATCTACCGCGCCTACACCGCGACAGTCCCCGCTAACCTATTTGATGCAAGTGCTCGATTATCTAGGTGCAAATGCCGTTATGTGCACACAACTCATCCAGTTATTGCAAGCCTTAGCTGTGACTCTTCCTGGTCAACTACTCCTCACCATGTCTGGATCAACACGAGCAGCCGCTAAGTAAGTAAAACCTGCTAGCTCTCCGAGCGCCGAAAGATAACTTGACTACAGGATGTTCAACAACCCCACTCTCTCAGATGTCAAGATCAAGCAAGTATACGAAGGCAAGATGCGCGAGTATCATGCACATAAGGCTGTACTGTGCCTCGCATCTGGCTACTTTCTCAACGCCTTTACCGGTAGTTTTAAGGTCAGAAAATGTCTTATAGTCACCCGAGACAATATACTAATTGTCTCCAGGAAGCATCCGAGGGCGCTATAGAACTACACGAGGACAATCCCGAATGCTTCGAATTCCTCCTCAAGTTCATCTACACCGGTATCTACGATAAAGGCGAGATCGCTAGGCTAGCAGGCAGCGACCACAACAAGCGTGTTCTTATCCCGTTTAGAATTTATGCGGTGGCTGATAAGTACGATGTCGGAAAACTCTTTGAATCGGCAGCAGAAGATGTCAAGATCGTTCTCATGTGCGCTATCAAAAACCGAGAAGACATACTCACCACTTCGATCAAGGCTCACTACGGTACTGAGGTCAAAGCTGATGAATCTATGGGACGCCTCATCACCGCTGTCATCTTCAAACAGCACAACGACCTCCTCGACACCAAAAATTTCGAAAAATTGCTCCTTGCTTACCCGATCTTTGCCGCAGACGTTGCACTTCACTCTCAGCGTGGCAAGATCTTGGGAGGGAAGGATCGCGCTATGTGCTCCGATTGCAATCAAAAGCTTGTCGAAATTGATGACCTATGCAAAAAGCCCTATTTCTACTGTCCTGACTGTGGCTGCTATCAACGTGTTCCTGCGTGTAAGTGAGAGCTAGGAACGCTCCTCTGGTTATGCGGGTTATAGGGGGAAATGTGATGCTTAGCAACTCGAGACAATGCAGAGTGGATACGATGGGACAACATCTTGAGAGCTATCTCTCTGAAAAACATCAATAGTACATACAGAGAGTTGGCTCTCCGGAATCTCGCTTGATAAAATGGGAGAAACTCCGGACATTACAGCTTCACCCAAACGTTGTGACTCCTCACCATGTTTCTTCCATCGTCACTCCTCTTGACCACACTACCTACTTGAAAATCCGTGAGAGCTCCTATACCATCATCTGGATAGGGCAACCATTCTCCCACTGGATCCATCGGTGCATTTGCTGGTGGAGATGGCGCCCATTCAACGACGAAGAGTAAATTAGGCATTTCTGTCATCGCGTCTCCACGGAAAATGCGAATAGTCTTGACGCAACGATTGCCACCTATCTGTGCTTTATGTTGAGCAAGAAAGTAACCTACTGCTCTACCGTTTGGACTGCCTAAGAGCACATTGTTAGTTCGATCCAGAACTCGAGGCACGCAAGACCTTGAAAAAGCATTGAAAAGAGGTGTAACACGCGAACGTACCCAGAAGAGCCATGTACTGCGGAGTGTTTATCTTGACGTCGATTCCCGGCCAGAGGGGCACCCTGTCTAGTTCTTGCTCCCTCAGTATCCTATCGATGATTCTCCGCGTCTCGCCGTTGGTTATGAGCATAGACACAAAGCCATGAATTTCTGCCAGCTTATCGCGCCTTACTCGGTTCCAGAACCCCCATGCTAGATCTGAACTCGCACGTAAAGCTGGCAACTCATCAGGCGGAACTGGGTCTCCTTTGCGTATACGCCATAGATCACGGGCCTCTTTTACGGCAGAGCCGCGCCGAAGGAAATAGATTAGACCAGCTTGCGGGTTGATGATGATGGTGGCATAGGCCGTTGTGACCTAGACGTGGGAAGGTGTCAGTAGAGAGACAGCAGAAGAACTTCAAGAATAAGCTCACCCTGTATCTCCGACCATTGGCAGTATAGTACTGTTTCTTACGAGGTGGCATTCTCCCTTGTGGATCCTTTTCCACGATGTCGCTATCGGCGTGAAATACAGAGAAACAATGGTTCGGTCCGCCGTGAAGATTGTTCACTTTGGAAAGTTTTAGCTCATCGAGCATTGGCTGGAGTGCACCGATTTCACATTCGCCATCAGGATCAGAAACATCTTCTTTGTAACCCCATGTCGCAAGCTCATGCTTCATATCACCATCCCATTGAGATGTCAAAGGATTCAGGAATCGAATGGCTTCCGGTGGATTTTGAGTAGACGCAAACATAAGTTTTGCTCCTCGACATTGTGAGTCAAACCAGACTTTATCGGTAGCAGGGTTTGTGTAGCCGTCATCGTTGTCATCATCCTCGTCTTCGTCATCAGAGTCGTCGTCGTCGTCGTCGTCGTCGTCAGAATCGTCATCGGGGTCGGAGTCTGTATCGCCTCTAATAGCAAGTTTCTGGTACCCAAGAGCCTTAGCGTCACCATCGATGACGGCCTTGTCATTAGTGAGATTTTGTAAACACTCAGTCGCGCCAAGGGCAATGAGACCTGCGATTAATATAATCCAAGAGAGCTTCATTCTGTCTACTCGGAGTGTTGTAGGTGAGTGTGTGAGTCCGAGCTGGTAAGAAAAGGAAGGAGCGGAGGCGGTGCTAGCTGTAATCTTCACCAGACAAGCAAATTATGCTAGCCATACAAGGGAGAGGTGAGAAGTCGTAGTGGGTTATCATTTAGGCTACAAGCAAACATGTTCACTGCGGAAATTGGGTAGCCGTGTATCCGAGGTGAGAGTGAAAGGCGCGTTGAGATGCTAAGGCAGGCGCACTGGAGTACTGAGGTGTCAAACAGGTCAATATTCATCAAGGTGCAGCATGAAGGTCGACCCCGTGTAAGCTGAAGTGTAGCAGTAATATACATAAGCTCTCATAGTATATTCAAAAATGATGAACATGATATCGTATGAGGTGGAGTGTCTCTTGGCTTCGAGAGAACCGATTGGTCACGGTACTTGTACCCATGTAAGCATATAACTGCAGTGTAACAGCGTTGAACGTCAGATTTCTGATGAACGAGCAACAACACCCTGAAACCATCTTCACCGCTTCGTATGATTTTCATGGATATTAATCGCCGTTACACTAGATTATCAGTACGGCAGTGTTGAATGCACAGAAATCGGTGTAGAGTGAGCGCTGAATACATTACTTGACAGTCGGGGTTGTACAAGGGTGTTGAAAGAGGTATATAAGAATGAGAAGACAGCGAGAGAATCATACAGTAGCTATCACTGCTTTGTCCTTCAGAAACATACAGATCAATATTTCAAACCCTACCCTAGGTACAAGACCAACGACACCCTCAAAGTAGTAAGAGCCACTCCTAGACATTGGAAACGCTCCAACGTCCAAAACATGACTGACGCTGTCAACAGACCAACTGAAATCATGAGATTCACCCCTATCATCGCATCTCTTCTCGGTGCTGCCGTCACCATCCAGGCTCTCGAGCAGCCCCATCCTCTCGCAGATGTCAGCGCGCAAGCCTGCGCTGTGCGCAACTACGGTTGCGAAAACGGCTATTGCTGGAACGGGCAGTGTGGAAGCAAAGGAGAGTGGTGCTGGCTGGCCAAAAATGGGGGTTCGGGTGGTTGGTTGACGTGTGGAAGCGATGCGGCTTGTGCACCGAATGTTGCCGTGGATGCTGGGTGTGCTGACTGTAACGTCTATCCTGCGGGCACCTGTGGGTGTTCATGCTGAGACTAGAAGATTGCGCGCCAGGGTGGTAACATAAAGCCGGCATATCAGCTCACCCCTCATTTGAGCTCTTGTTCTGTAGGAAAAGTTTCCAGGTAGTGTTCGAGAACATCAACAACCTCTGCTTTTGGATCTTCGGCGCCATCTTTTCGCATCTTTGAAGCGTTCTCTTGCTTCTTTTTCGCACCTACTGCTCGTCGATGGGCGCGGCTTTGGCGGTGTAAATTCCAGTCATTCTCGGTAATAGATGTTGTACCGCATGTTTCGCAGACCTTCTTTTGCCAGAGGTCTGGTCGCTGTCCCAGATCGTACTCGCGTTTTGGCGTCAGCATTTCAGCTGCAACTGGTGATAGTGATGAGGGAGGTGGCAGTGGCTGGCCAGAGAGGAATTGTTCGGTGATGGCTGTGGCAGGTTTTACGACCTTGTCCTCCCATCGCGATATATCAGACCCATCGACCAGGAATGTATTGTCCTTTTGACCTGCCCCAAACAATGCATTAAGAAGCTTGATCCGAATCCACTTGATCTGCCGGTTGGCATATTGGCGCGTGGCAGCCTGCGTCTTCTCGACGGCTAGGCTCTTAAGCTTCTCTAGCTCAGGGGCCGTCTTCGTATAATCGGAGAGAGCGCTTTGGTATTCCAAAAACTCCTTGTATCCTATAGATACCCAAATGCCGCGAGTCTGGTCAATAATGGCGCCCATACTGGATTCGTGGCGTTCGCGGAAGCTACTCAGTTCCTCAACCTCAGACAGAAGGCCTCGTGCGATCATCTTATCAACACGGCCATCAAGACGACGATGCAGCACGTCCTTGTTTGCGTGCACCCAGAATACCAGGGTCTCGAAGCGAAGACTGTCAGATGCCGCGCCATCCGTCTGAGCAGCAAGAGCGTCGCGTTGAAGCTTTTGTTCCTTGTAGAGTTGCGACGCTGGTTTGCCTGTTCTTAAGTATATCTCAAGTGATCGCTGAATCTTGCGCCGCTCGTTGGGATGCCACCTGTCGGCCATGATAGGATCAACATCCCTGAGTTTCGCATGCAAGACATCGGTAGGCTCTTCTAGTATCGGTAGAGACTGACTGTTCTCGTTCAAGTTCAGCTCCGGCTCATCTGCCAGCGCATCTTGGAATAAGAGTGATTGTGTGTAGTAATGAGTGCCACCGACCAAGACCGGTAGTTTTCCTCGACTTCGGATTTCGTCGATCTAGATACGTCAGTGTTCCTCCGGATAAGAGTTCTCTCTTATCATACTGTTCTCAAAGCCTCGCCCACGAATTTCCCTACAGTCCAAGTTTCTTCTTCAAGACTTATGCAGCCGAGGAGATGGTGAGGCACTCCTCTCATCTCATCCTGTGTTATTTTATTGGTGATGATAGGCAACCCGCGATACAGCTGCATAGCATCTCCGTTGATAATTTCGCCATTGTATCTTCGCGCAATCTCCACAGCCAACTACCTACTGTGGTCAGTAAGACATGGTCTAGATGAGCAACGTGGGCTTTACATCTGATTTGCCGGTGCCTGTCGCACCCACAATGGTGATTAGGGGTTTGCGCGGCGTTTGGGCCATGTTGTATCTACTAACTGCTCTTGCGAACCGTAACATGCATTCGACGGGATGGTTGAAAGGGTCGCGAATGACTGAGTGGCCGAAAATGCTGGTTAGCGTAGAGCGGGGATGCGCTTTTCCTCTTCGACGTTAGCACAACCGTCCAGGAAGCCGATCCCATGGAAATCTCCCGTTTAGACAGATCGAAGCACAGCACGACTAGTGAAGGGACTCAGAAGTTGAAAAGCAAGAGAATGTGTGTGTGGTTGCCAGAAATTTGAGTTTATGAATTTGTTCAGATATCTTCGAAATGTTGGTACGGATGAAATATCGTTGTTGAATCTGATGGGGTATCATCGTTGAGTGCCGCCCGAACGCCTGTTGAAACTCCGTCGACGCGCATTGTTGAAGCGCGTCGAGAATGTATCCTTTTCCACTTCTTTCTCACTTGTCTTCCACCCTCTTCTCAGCTCCATAACCGCCCTTGCCCTCTAGACTCTGGTATGTCGCTCCCTCACCCTTTCCGTTTCTTGGTCCTCTCTCTGTCAGGTCTTCCTGTAGCCACTTCAACACCAGCTCACCCAATTGACTGTTTCCAGTGTACATGCGCTCGCCCTGCTCGACCTTGACGTCCATCTCCTCAACGCTACCCCACTTCTTGACCTTGCCCAAGCTCATATGCACGAGATGTGTAGGCCATGTCGCGAGATTGTCCAAGATGTGAGTCGCATACACGATAGTGCATGGACGCTCCAGTGTCTCCTTCTTCAGGAAGTTGAGGAAGTTGCTACGCGACAGCAGATCTAGATCAACTGTGATCTCATCCAACAGCAAGATGGTCCACGGTCGCAGCAGACCCATGGCGAGTTGTACACGTCTCCTCTCGCCATCTGATACGGCGTGCATGCGCCAGCTGAGGTCGATATCAAGTATGCGTACGAGCTCGTCGCGGCGCTCGGTGTAGTGATCGCCGCCAATGGAGGATAGAAGCGTGGGCACGTCGATATCGGTACGGACAATGGGGTTGAGTACCCACTCAAGACCAAGATAGGTCACACCCTCAAGACCCATCTTGAAGGGGTCGATGCCCGCGATGTGGACGGTACCGGAGGGGGCCATGCGCTTGCCGGAGAGTAGGCGGAGAAGTGTGGTTTTGCCCGCACCGTTAGCTGGAACTGTCAGCTGAACCCTTTTGAGATCCATTCCTGTTGTTGCATACCTCCGATCAGAAGTGTCCTGCTACCAGGTGGTAGGTCTAGGAAAACATCCTTCAGCCCACTTGAGCCATCTGGGAAGGCATAGCTGAGGTTTTTCACGTCGATTGACGGCGCGACTTCCTTGCCGTTGATTGTGTTTGACATTGTGACTATGATTTGCGTGTGAATGGCTGTCACACTGTTGGTGGGAGGAGACTACATTTTGTAGGCTGGTTGCGGTGGAGTCATCTCGGTGGGCTAGATCGGTAAGTCGACATGAGTGATGCCATCATTCCGCCAATAAGCACGCTAGGCCAAGATAGGCAGGCAATATTGTGGACCTTAAACGGCACTTCTTCTCAACCTCAAGTTTTTCAACATCATTCGTGGCTTCAGTGGACTCAGGCCAGCTATGCGTCGTGAGTCAATGCGGTCCGCGGTGCCATACCATCACAATGCCGGGGACCTCCGACACCGCGACGCCAGCCTGGGCAGCCCGAATACCTGGACATGGAAAAGCAAGCATATCTGGGGAAGAACCGCAAATCACGAAAAACGTTCCAACAATATTCACTGCACATCTGACGAAGAAATGAATTGCATACGATTCAATCAGGCCACAGACCGCGCAAACTAAAACCACACGGATATGTACAAGGTTCACTTCCCACTATATACAACCACTAGTCAACCCCACTAATGCATCTGCGTATGACAATGCACTTAGAGCGAAACACAGCCGTTGATAGAGTCCTCAAGGAACAGACCACCGTAGATCTGGCCCTCGTCAAGGTTGGCCTCCTGGAAACCAGCGTTGGCAACATCAGAAGTACCAGTGGGCTTCTTGAGTATGCCCATCTGGTATTGGCCGCCACCCTGAAGGTTGACAGTGAGGGGACCAGCGACCTGCTTGAGTGGGGCCTGGCCGGCAGAGTAGAAGATGGTAGTTTTGCTAAAGATCTTGTTAGTACCACAATGATCAAGTTGTAGTAGGTGAGTAAACGTACTTGGCGTTGAAGTCGAGCTTCAGGGCAAAGTTTTGCCATTGAGTCTGGTGGATCGGGACGCTCCAGAGGAACTTGCTGTCGCGGTCAAGAATCTTGAACTGGTTCTTGTCGGCGTCGCTCTTTCCGATGAGAGATCCAGTCTGGAACTGAATCTGGTTGTTGCTGAAGTCGGCAGCCTCGTGCCAGACGTTGAGGTACTCGTGGGTGAGGTTCAAGGGCCTGGCAGGGTCCTGCTTGACGCTGAAGTGGAGAGTCTTGACACCCTTGCCTCCCTCACCGTCAGCGGCATCCTTGAGGAACTGGAGGCCTGCACGGCGGAAGCCCTGCTGCTTCTGGAAGATGGATTCGTCGGAGATGGTGACCTCTACAGCCTTGAACTTGTCGCCGTCGAAGCGCGATGATTCCTTGGGGAACTTGAGGATTTGCGACCAGGTCAGGTTGTTACCCTTGACGAAGTCGGCGTTGAAGATGGTGTTGGTAGAAGCCGAGTCGAAGAAGGTGGGTGTGGTGTTGACAGGGACACGACCATCGAAAACGATGGGGCACTTGGGCTCAGCGCGAACGGCGTTGGCGTGGGGGTGTGGGTGAAGGTATGGCGCAGCCAGTGCGCCGGAGGCAACTGAGGCCAGGGTAAAGAATGACTGAGTGAACATGGCGATGGTTAGAGAATGTCGTCGAGACTGTGGATGCGCTTGAAGTGGATGAGACACCAGATGGCAGGTGGAGACAACTCTTTATACAACTCTAAAACGTATGACTGAACATGTATCTACCCCAACACCATCCCAGCCCGTTCGCGTATTAGATGGACACTGCGGTGCCAACGCGTTCGGCATTTTCCACGCTCCGAAATAAGGGATGTTCGCGCCCTTCATTTGGGTTACTGCAAAGATTGGGCCAGTTGGCCAATGGCAGGGGAAGGGGAAGAACGATGGAATATTCTATAGTAGGCCCGACGACGTCAGGATAAGGCCGCATCAATATAGGTGAAATATAGCTGGGACACTTCTGTCATGAGGCTCCTCAACCAGGATGTGGGGTAAAGTGCACGGCTGCTAGTCAACTACCGGACGGTCCGGCATCCCGATACCTTCGTCAATCGAGAGGATTAAAGGCAGTAAGCAAAGCATTTCGCCGACAAACGACAGTGTCGATCTTCTGTAGTCATTATTCTTCAATCCAACTTTTCTTTGTACCGCTTTCCATCTCGACTACCACGTGCAGTCTTCGTTGCTCGCAGTGCAATTTCATGCGCGGACCAAAAGCGCACTCCGACATTTCCAAAAAGCGACCGAATGGCGCCGTCAAACACACCATTGCAGCCAAGTTTCATCAATACCGGGAATGCGACCGAGTCGCAATGATCTGAGCCAGCATTGATGGTCAGCTATGTAATCGACGTGGCTCTAGAGTCGTTCGCGATGCTGGGCATGATCTTAACATGGGAGCATCGTGTCTTGTCAGGGTGTGTATGAAGTGCAAACGGCCGTTCAGCGGCGATCAGCTGGCCCAAGCGGAAGAAGTTTATTTCTTTACCTGCGGTATTGCGGGACGTTGATAGTCCGGCCACCGCCTGAACTTTTGTACCGGCTTGGTCAAAATCGTCATCAACTCCCTGGCGTGACGATTATCGAGGGTACATGCAAGGGACGTCAGGCTCGGTGAGAAGATGTGTGCTATTATCCTTTGCAGTACAGTTCTAACACCCGCGGTATCATTGCGCCTGGTGAATTTATGCCTTGAGTCCATGCTCAAACTCTGTTCATATTATGGTCGCCCAAGAGGTCCATCAGCCTGATTCCCATCTTCCTGTCAACATGGCGCTTCCTCAACGCGCTGCTTTCGACACTCCACGTATCCAAAATGATGTGCCAACCCAGAACGCCATGCATGAACGTGGTGACAAGCAAACGCAACCGCAACGCCTCCCTATGTGCCACTGGTCTTGAATGCAAGCTCGCCTTTATACACTGCCGACCGATTACATGTCTACACTTGCTGCGGGGTCAGCCATGTGGCTTCGATGCAGCCCTCGTAGAACTGTCTCTGGCCGTTTTCGCTCTCAACACCGAAGCCCATGTTGCGTAGTTTTCCGGTATCCCAACCACTAACAAACTCTCCTTGGCCGCCGTTCTCCCTGTCTACAGCATCCCCAAGCCTGATGTAGTCGGCATGGCGGCACACAGTTTGAGAGTAAGACCATTGCAGGCAGTTGCCATCATTAGCACATTCTGATCCGCACGAGCCGGCATTGCGGTGTGCGGGGCGGTCGTTGGGGACGGGCGCTTGCGAGAGGTTGTCCCACCACTCCTTTGAGGGACCCTGTGACAGGAAGTTGTGCGTGTAGGAGAGAAACGAGGAGTAGGTGAATGGTTTCTGCGCAGTAGTGTTAACCGGGTTGCATGCCAGAACTTGGAGCCTGTAGGAAACTTACAGTATTGTATGGTCGTGTCCTCTCCCATCTCCACAAGTCTTCCATCTGCTGGGGCTTGAGCTGATGCAGCGAGAGCATCGGGACGCACCACTTGTCACGTGTGGTAGTGACATCTTTGGGCTTATCGCTTGCGAATGTCGGATACATAGCCTCGAGCTTGTGTCCAGTGGCGTTTTGGATGGCATAGGAAAGGACAGCGTCGCCGCGCTGCTCCTCCTTGACCCACTGCTCGTACCTGACGCCTAGTCGGTTCTCGCGCGGGATGTCGGTCGAGCCTGGGCTCTTGGCTGGAATCAATTGCTTGAGGAGGCCCTGGGAGAGAACAAAGCCTGCACCACCGTAGGCAAACTGGCGGCCCTCGGAGCCCTTGTGCGGTTCACCGAGATAGTGTGGTTGCGAGGCGTCGAGCTGGCTAAGCAGACGGAACAGGGTGTCCCAGAAGAAGTAGACGTCCGACTCAATGAAGACGAACCACTTTGCCGAGGGGTTTGTCATGTATGCCTTATCTACCATGGGCAGGTACTTGAAGCGGTCGAGCTTGAAGGACCGCTGCTGCTCCTTGACCGTCTCCCCGCCTTCGTGTGCCTTCTTGTGCTCGACATAGATTTGGAAGTCCACGTTGTCCTTTTGGTAGCTCTTGGGGAGTTCGGCGAGGATGTCGATAACATGGCGGTCGCCCAATCGCTCTTCCCGATCACCCACGATGATGAGGTTCGTGATGCAGCTCGACACGGTGCTGAGGTGTGCTTTGGTCTCGTGTGCCCCATCCGAGGCCACCTTGAGGACGACCTGCACCTCTTCGAGTAGCTTTGTAGGGAAATTCTGGCAGTAGTCGAGCTCGATGGAATTGGCGGCTTTGGTCTCGAGGGGCGGGAAAAACGACTTTGTCTTCGCTTTGTGAACTGGCGCCTGCGGATGTGATGCTCTCCGATGCGAGAGGGTGTATATGAAGAAGAAGATCAGGAGGCCAGGGAAGAGGAATCTCCATGGCCGCCGTGCCAAACGGCCAGCCAGCGGTTTCAACATGGTGCCGTCGCTGCGGCCGTGGGGGGGTCTGCGGTCGCCGGGGGGTCGGGAGAGTCGCTGTCAGTAGAGACGACGACGAGGGCAGGCGAATTGCGATGGGCAGGTGGGCGACGTCACCGGCACATTAAGTAGTCCGTTCGTGTTGGGTGGAGGTGTCGACAACGACGATGGCGCGCATTGGCCCTGAATCGTCGTACTGCGCGAGTCCAGCCCGGCTCCTGACCAGAACGCGAATCCGCTAGTGGCCAATCCGGAATGGTCGCCGTCTTGGTATCCCACGACTCCTCTGATGAGCTTCCTTCCTGCTCTGACCCTGTTCTCGACGTGACTTCATCGCCCTCTGCGACACCTGGAAATCAAGAGGGTAGGTATACTGCAGGCATAATCAGATCTGGCACGCCTTTCGCACTACTGGAGTTGCTGGTAAACGACTGCTTTTCGGCTTTGTTGTATTCTGCTTCATATTCCACGTCCGACCAATCTGACAGCGCCTCTTCGTCACTCATCATGTGCTGCGGAGATCGTACAAGCTCGTCTGTCGCACTTTCTAGCTCCGCAGTGAAATTGGATGATGCTGCGCTTTCTGACCACTGATACTCCGGCTTCTCGAAAAACACGTTGTATTCCGGATCGTCCTCTACATCAGACCAGTCTGGCAGATTGTCGAAATCTTCGTCGCCAATGGTTTCATGATCATCCTTGGCGACTAGAAGACCAATAGACTCCAGAAAGAGATCACAGGAGTCGAACGACCGTCTTGTGAAGGAAGGGGTGCGATCCATATGTGCCTGCGGTCTGAACGAAAGATCAACCTTGCGGTATTGCGGATCCGAAGATTCCGCCTCTGCCTTTATACTGAAGTCTTCTTGGACAATGAGCCAATGTTCGACTTTATCGCGGTGCGTTGGACCAGCAAGCCCATCAAACGGATTCGCGTCATTGTTACGTTTCCGTTGCATATACTCCTGCTCTGGTTGGCGCACTGAATGGATTGCCAACGGATTGTCCATGCTGTTTTCCACACCAGTGACGTTCAGCGCCCTTGATTTGGCAAGCAACTCTTCGGCGAACTCTGGAAACACGCGATTGAGTTGTTCGTGCGCGACGCCCCCACCGTGTCCATGTTGGTGGGCTGCATGGACGCATTCGACTTCCCTTGCTGAGCGGCATGCGAAAGACAAGCTTGAGTCACTAGTTATCGTGTCGTTGTCATCGGGGAAAAAGGAGAGCGCAGACCCTCGACCAACAAGGTGCAGCTCATCAAGTGGTAATCTCTCAACGAAACGCAGTATGGTAATGTTGACTTCGAGAGCGACTCGTGCGTCTAGATGAACTGTGTTCCTATTGACCTGATCTCTGAAGGGAAAAACGTTGCTCAGCGTTCTGTCTAGTGTCGCAGAAACGGAGCAGAGAGATTCCTTGGATACTAAGTTGGAGATTGTTGTTGTTCGTGATCCGCTACAGACCGTTGCTTGGGTCTCGGAAGTTAATCTTGATCTGCTCCCCATGCTAGGTATGGACGAATCCGTGGAATCATCGCTCCGTCCAAAGTTTGATGTCATCAGCCGAGCGCGCATCGAACGGACAATCTTCTTGACTTTGCCCATATCAACGTTTGCGGCGCGGTTGAGGTGTAGATTGAGGTTTAAGACGTTGTGGTTCCTACCGGAGAGTATAGCGGTATAGAGGAAGAAGTATTGCGTTGAATTCCTGGGTTCGTTTCACGAACGTAGCGGTACGTACTCGTTAACGGTTTTTCACTACAAATTGAGAATATTTCATCACATCACGATCATGGTACACTCTGCCAGCGTCTCGCGCAATGAATGGTTTCTGGGAGCTAAGTCACCGAGGCTGATGCACATCATGCTCAAGTAACGCTGTGAACTATATTGAAGTATGAAAAGGAGCGTATGTTTGCAGAAGGTTGTAGCGTACCATTCTGTGACAGTACAGTCAGAGTGCGACATGCATAGCGTATATAACGACAGCTCCACTGCTGCACTCATCCACGTACGCCGAATACCACGCTTTCATACTATGACCACTGATCTGGCTAGCAAGAAACATATTCATTCTGCTGTACGACCAGAAAATCGTCTAAGCAGTCGAAGATACAGCTCAAAGACGCCGAAATGAAGTACCAATATCTCGTAAAATCGCTTCTTTTAGGTCTGGCCACCTCTGCACCCGCCGCACCACCGGTCAACGACCTAGATGTAGCCATGATGCAGTCCTACTCTGACAAGCCCCATCCAACCCTAGTAGACTACAACATAGCCGGAGTCGCATGGTGTGAAAAGCATGTCCGCGCCAACGCTCCCAATCCCCCTATGCTCCCGAAACCCGGCATCGACCCCAAGAATCCTCCGGTCATGCCGTCTCTCCGTGCTCTGTACACGTTTATGGTGCCCAACCCGGACAAGAAGAAGCCTGGATTTGCTCTCCAGCCAACATTCGAAATCCTTGGATTTGCGCCTATCACGCGAGAAATGTGTCTTTGGGGTTGGGGTGTGGGTCGCCAGAGTTATGGGATTCAGTCGGAGCAAGTCAAGAAAGGCAATATCTGCCGTGGACAAGGAGGTGTTGCTATGGTTCAGGGGTGGAATCAAACTATATGGTGGAATGAGTTTAGAATAGTATTCTGAGTCAATTCAAGATTCGTTACTGGAATGTATGTACGTTGAGTTACTAGAGGTAGTCATTTTCATTCGATGTACCTCTCAACTGATGCTACATTCTATCGCCTCAACGTCGTTACCGCTGAGGCAACTGAGAAATGCCTCTGTGCGACTGCATGTGACCCGAACCACCGCTACCAACTGTACGCCCTGGGTTTCTTCATGAACACCTGCCATTATGTTCGCTGATCAAACAATGCAGCCCGATGTATACATCTCTCACCATCTTCTCCACCATGCACGATGAGAATCGGGTATTTCCACTTGTTGCCCTCCATGTTTGGGTCGGTGGGCATGTTGGGAGTGCTGTTTAGGTGTAGTTTTCGTGCAAGGTATGGTAGTGAAGATAGGTCGCTTGGCAGAATAAGTGTGGGCTCATAAGCGAAAGCGGCGTTGTTTACCTAGAGCTAGATAGTCGGAGCGGCTTAGAGTATCCAATTTCGTCTTTTATCTCCCGTTTGTAGATTCCTCCATCACCTCGCTGTCATCCATACCGGCGATTAGCCAGGGAACTGACGTTACGTGCTTGTTATTGCGCCAAGCTCCTAGCGGCACTGGGAACCTATATCAACTTAGCCTGTTCCTCCAACTTGCTTATCTTCCCTTCAACTGTCACTAGCTTTTCCGCAACCGACCAGCTTTGGGATCACTCAAGGGTTTCTCTGAACTCTTAGGGATGACTCCTTCGATGCCAATTCAACTGCCCTACTTGGTTCTTTTGGTTGGACATCGACGCGCAGGAGGTTGATGTGAGGAGCTACTTTCTTGGTACGTCCTGCCAGAGATATCTCGATGTTGGTCTGACAGCCTTCACGATGCCTTCTCGCATGCAGTACAGTTCGTTCGACCTGCGATTGTTTGTGTCATCTCGATAACGCACTCAACGTCTGGTGGCTTGGTGGCAATGTTGATGTGTCCGGTCCACGCAGGCGATGGTTGCGACCACACAAGCGAGTAACAGGCACACTGACTTAGACACCGCCGTACACGTGCAGCTTGGTGTCAGACAAGCATGCATCGTGAATATGGGACATTTTCATTGAGTACCTTTCCCTTATGGAAAGGTTTGAGGAAGATGATTGCTTCTTGTCTGATACGTGATACATAGCTTCCGAGTCTGTAATAGGATACGACATGGCACTTAGTTGCTCGCTTTGAGTATTGAACAGCGATGTTTACTAAAGCTGTGTCAGTAACAGTCAATCATGTTTAACAGTTGAGCTGCAATGATCTTGACGCCTCTGTTATATTGCCTTCACACCGTAAGACATCTTGAAATGATTCCTCGGAGCTATCTGGTGGCTTCTATTGCATCCGAACATGCATAATAAAGCCTATGAACCTGCCCTGGCGTACAAAAAATCGCATCTCGAGGGGCCTGTGGACGCCTGAACATCCTCTCAAAGCGCTGAAATGGCGAAAACGCTTCGGTTTTCCGGGAAGCATAGTGGCGACGACCTTGCCCTTACACTAAGCATCAGTAGCCAAGTGTAGTCCGCTAGATTTTGTCCCTGGCGGTGACACACCGCAGGAGCCAGGATATATGTTGAGCTAGTGGCGCCCGGGCCCATTCTGTTTGGCAGCCTTGCGTCAAGAATCTGTCTCCCTCTCTCACACCCATTGTCGCAGCTTCAACTCTTTCCACGCTGCCCGAGCTCGCTATGACTAGATCCAAGTCCCACTCGCCTCCGCGCACACCTCGCGGCTAATCTGCTTCGCCGCGGCACTCACTTTTGATATCGCCAACACGTTCTTGCTCAGCACGTCAAGGTCATCACGACGACTACGTGGAGGATTGAGATGGTCAGAAGTGGGAGCCAGCTCGTAGTAACACGCTCGGCAGCTTCATCGCCGACTCACCCTCATCGGTGAGCACTACCGTGGAAGGAGACGAGTAAGTACCCGTGTACGACAGTTGATGCCACAGGCCTGTCACTAACCTTGCAGTGCTATTCTCAACACCGATCAGCTGCGAGAACAGCTTTCTCAGGTTCGGCTCACCGCTGATAACGAGTACCTCGACCGACTCCAGGCTGAGGAGGAGCTGCGTAGCGAAAGCGCGCGCGCGCTGACAGCTACGTAGAGCAGTCCGAAAGGCTTGAGCAGCGCGCACGCGAACTCGAGGCGGAAGTCGTTAGACTTGAGGCTGCTCTTGCTGGTGCCTGGACGGGAGCACGTCAACAGGATGTCATCCTGTCCGCACTGGAGGCTAGACTAGCTACTATCAATTCGAGTAGTGCTATCACTACCACTTCGTACGTTGCTTTCCTCGTATGATGTTGTATAAGCCAACTAACTGTCTAGTATGACTTCCCACTCGATCGTTTCCGTGCTTAGATGCGACAGCTGCCGTCAGCAGGGCCTGTCTTGTGACAACAGTTGTCCCTGCGGCTCTTGCAAGTCGGAATGCGAATGTGTTCGTCGCAAATGTAGATAGTACTATACGCTTCGCGCTCACTGTAGCGACGACTGTGAATGCGTTCACATGGATGATGATATCAAGGGCGCTAAGACTGGAACGGAGATCAAAGAGCTAAAGTAGATTTTGTGTGTGTCCTATGGCGCCTTACGGAGCAACGAGCTTTTCGTAAACTGTCACGCTAAGTTGTCGTTCAGTGGATGAGTTTTAAGAGCTCAGTGTGGCATGACAGGATGGATTTTGGAAGGAACACTTTGCGGAATGATGGCGCTGAGAGCCTCCGGACTCAGCTCAGCATAGACAGCTAGGAATCTTAAATCCGAAGATGACGAATAAAGCCGTATGTATGTCGCTGACCCGAAGACTGTGACCAGTGCATAAGGTACCTAGGTAGATTGATGTCTTGGTGAGGTTGGTAAGCATCCGGCTATTCCTTCCCATCCGCGCGGCCCCGCTTCCGGCACAGTAGCCTACATCATCACACCAGACCTCCGCATGTGTTCATGATATCTTTTCTACCACTTTCCAAGGTAGATTCATTCTAACATCGATCACTGTTCCAAACAAAACCAGACTCGTTCGATATGGCGAGCACTAGCGAGTTGCGTCTTCACCTGCTTACCCATCTCATCTAGGAACAATCAGCTAACGAAAGCAGTCTCGTGAGACTAGCACAGAAACTTGTTCGAGATGGACCTTGCAAGATAGAACACACAGCACGTCGTGTGCGAGGTCTTTTCAATGGAAAATATGCATTCGATACACTCAACGCGCATCATGTCTGGGAATTGGAGCTGCGCTACCCACAGTACTTATTGATAAACTCCTTGGAGGGCCCTCATGACACTGACCATACTCAAGATACTACGTACCGATATCGAGCTTCACTTCCAACGCTAAGCTATTGCGTGGCTCTGCCGTTGATGGAACTGATGGAGGCGCAGACCTTGGAGTTCTGACGGTCGGTAACCGCGACAGCAACCGGATACTGATCTTCAACACCGGCAAACTGAAGGATCTTGTGAAAGTCGACTTCAGAGCTGTCGACCAATGGTTTGAAGAAGACATGGAGATATATGGCCATCCCAAAGACCCCTACAAGCGCATCGACATTCTGCCTTCTTCTCGTAATGTCAGGGTAGCCATCGATGGTGTTACACTCGCGGAAAGTTCAAGTCCTCTATTTCTTCTAGAGACTACTCTAAGGACGAGGCATTATCTGCCACCCACGAGCGTGAATTGGGAATATCTCACACCTAGCAATACAGTAACGCTCTGTCCGTATAAGGGACGCGCGGAGTACTACAACGTCAACATTGGTGGAAAGCTGTACAGAGATCTGGTATGGTACTATCGATATCCGACTTCCGAAAGCGCTCCAATTGCCGGATACATGTGCTTTTACAACGAGCTGGTTGAAGTTTATGTCGATGGCGTGAAGGAGACGTCGTAGTCGTGGCTCTGCACTGGCTGTTAAGATCTTCAATCTAGGCGCATAGTCAAATCTCATCATGCTTTGATCCTTATGGTTAGAACAACGTATCACACCCTGGTGCAAAGTTGTAAGCTCGGTGTTATGAACGAGGTCTCTGAACTCTACTTCGCGCTTGTTACCGTCTGTCTACCACAGAGCGGGGCCGATCGTACAACGGTGACTGGAACATATAGACTCCAAGTTCTGTGGTGCTGAACTGTAGGGAACCTCATGTTGGAAGACATTCGTCCATATTCCATGAGGAAGTATAGGCTTTAGTGTCCCTTGCGGTGGTCGGAGTAGTGCAGGTACATGCTGCTATGCTGCGTACAGTGTATTTTTGATTCGGTCCTTTGTCATGGTCCGCCTCGGCCCAGGTCGAAGAGTATCAACTCTTTTCTTGCTCGGCCAATCTATCAGGAATGCGCGTGAAGGATAGAAAGCCGTTGACGCACATGGTGTGTGTGTGTGTGTGTGTGTGTGTGTAAAAGACATGGCGGACCCGACGGCGGCGGCTCTCGGTCGACCTGCATTAGGGATGCTGATGGTCACTGCGACTTCTGTTGAGTAATCTGAGGTCGTAGGATAGCTTCCGGAGGTGATATCGTCATTGATACACAAATTTATATTGCTAGGGAAGCAGTGACCTGATGTACCATAGAATGGAAATCGAGACGAAGATTCGGGACAGTTGGGGCTCGCAGGATGGACCGGTCTGAGAAGCGCGCAATAGCCTCTCCGCCAGAAAAGCAAACACTAGTCATGTATAGCCAAGACACAACCTAGCGTGATCCCGATATATCGCTCGCTGTCAGTCAATGCTAGCTACTTTGAGGTGTGTCTGGTAAACACGAAACAATCCGTGGCGGCCTGAAAGTCCGACGTCTTGGCAGGGGGACGGAGGGGGAGATTGCATCTATCACGCCACAGGGTCATCAGCAGTAACTAGATACGGATCCCAGCGGCAGCTGCAAGTAACAGATTTTCATGTTGACATGTAATACGGATGCTGTGTTGCGACAATGTGATCCTGCTGGATGAACATGGCTGGGGTTCGACTGCTTTTCTTCCAAGGTTGATGTAGGCGGTCAATCTCCGCTGTGCCCGCGTCGCGCATGAACCCGACTCGCATGAATCCCATCCTACCAGCATCGCCGGTGCATGTCACCACAACAGGAAAAAAAGTGTGCGCTGTCCCACTCCATACCGTATATGCGGCCTCAGGCCATCTGCTCTCATGTCATGCGACTTTCACTGCTGCATACAACACCACCAGAAAAACCAACCATATTTCGACGACTGGCAGCGTGGACTACTTCGGCTGCGTCATGGTCTAGAACTGCGCAACTGACACCTCATCTCGAGTTTCTTCTTCTTTCCGATAGACTGCGCCGGGAAACCCGAGGCTGTAGTTTGATGGGCTGCGGCAGTGGCAAGGCTGGTGGTGTACGTTGGGACCTGATTCCTTTTTCTTCTGGGGCGCACGCCGTCTCTCGGTTCCTGCAGCCACCAGCAAACTCTCCTCACGCAACCCCGCTGTTGTAGTTTGCACGGCACGCTCGGCATAGCCAATGGCCAAGTACGCCTTCGCACTCTTCGCGAGGCCAAGTATTGAAGCTCGTATCTTGTAGGATGCCTATTATCAAACTGAGCCAGAGGCGTTGTGTAGAATTGCAGTATACTTGGTCGTTTCAGCCGAGCCCCAAGTACATTCATTGCGTGGGAAAATCACGAAATCATGCTTCGTTGTCGATCGACATCATCGCGGCGATACTCGGGTCTGAGATCACTGATCGCGGAAACGAAAGTCGCACCGTTGACGGGTGGTAACAAAGTATATCCGCTGATACTACCTAGCTCGAGTAGCTTGTGGGAAACGTACCATGTGGATGCCGTGCTCCACAAACGCCCAGAAAACGATGCATCGCGCTCAGGGGTTGCCTTGCCCTAGCCGTTCCCCGAGCCGAACAGTAAGCAAGCCTATCCCTCATACAGTCCAAGCGCTCTGGTGATCTGCCAATGCCCAGAGTCTGGCAAACCGAAATAGACCGTGTGGCTTCCCAAGCGACAGGGCTGTCGCGCGAAGACGTGCACGCCGAGGCCGCTAAACTAATCTCGCCCGTGTCATGCCTGGCGCCGCTGTGTCGGAGCGGAAGATATATCTAGGGAGGGACCTCTGCACATGGGAGGATCTCCACGAGTTATCGCCTGTCACTCATCGCCCTATCGTCAACTCGCGGGGTGTCGAGACTCATCAGTTTTGGAAGTCATAGACTTCTGTACATTCGCTTTTGCACCACACTCGCTTTACTACGTTTAACATGCGTATTACTACTCTAATAGGCCTCGTGGCCGGACTCGCCAGCCAGACTGTGAACGCAGCCTGCAGCGCACCCCTCAAGATCGATGACTTCTCCAAGCAGTCTTCTAACCAGAACAGCTTGGGCGAATGGACTAGCGGTAAGTCTTTTGTATGCCTCTCACCAGAACATGGCTAATTCAACCCAGATGATGGATCCATGAGCTCCATCTCCGCCAGCGCCGGTGTCCTTTCTTTCAAGCCCAAGGCGGGATCTTACTTCTACGAGACTTTCGCTTGCCAGGCGGCTAGCACCAATGGATACAACTCCGTCAGCTTCCAGATGAAGGGACCCGCCGGTGGCTCTGCCACTCTTGAGATCCAGACCAAGACCAGCTGCTCGGCTACTACGTACACTTCCAAGTACGTTTCGATCACTGGGTTGACTGGTAACACCCAGACCATCAACATCCCTCTTTCCCAGTTCTCCGGTGCCAATGCCAATGCCGTTACTGGTTTCGTATGGGCTGGATTCTCTTCAACCACCGCCACATGGCAGATGAGCAACATCGCCTTTGGTTGCGGTAGCAGTGCAGGTGGCAGTACCTCTGTCTCCGCCACCAAGGGAGCTACCACCACCACCTCGGCCCGCAGCACCATGTCGACTGTCGCAACCCCCACAGCCTCCGCTGCCCCCGGATCTTGCTCTCCTTTGTTGATCGACGACTGGATTTCTCAATCTCGTTTGACTTTCTTGTACTACAACGCCATGGGCTACCCTACCTCCGACGATGCTTCCATGACTTCCATCACTGTTGGAAAGCCTGCTACTAACCGTGTGGAGTTTGTTCCCAAGGCCAACTCATACTTCTACAGCCAGTTCCCTTGCGTCGACGCGAAGAAGAACAAGTACACCGGAATCTCCCTTCGCATCAAGGCTCCCAAGGGCGCTACTTTGGCCCTTCAGCTCGACTCTTCGGACAGCTGCGACGCTACTAACCCCAAGTCTACCTATGCGTCTTCCACTGACCTTGGCTGGACTTTCGATGGCACTGAGAAGCTGTACACCATTCCCTTCAGCAAATTCGCTGGCCTCAACACCGAGAAGCTTACCACCATCCTCTTCTCCGGCTTCACTGGTACCACTTCCTTCGGCCCCATGGCTTTCTACTGTGGCAACTCCGGAGAATACGTCGTTCCTCCCACCTCCGCTGACCCTGGCGCCAGTGCCACCGTCCCTGCTCCCAGCAACCCGTCAGCTACTGCTCTTGTGATTGACAAGTTCGCCAACGCCAACACCAACGCTATGGGTAACTGGCACGGTGGTGACGAGGGCATGACTCTCAAGTATGCCAGTAACAAGCTCACCATCACTTCTCCCGATGCCGACTACGCTTTCTACACCCAGGTATCCGCTGGATGTTCCGATTTCACCAAGTACAAGGGATCTTACCTCCACATCGCCTACACCGGTACCACTGCCTTCACCGTTGCTTTCCAGCAGCACAACAGCCAGTGCAAGGCTGAGATTGCTCCTTACCCTGAGACCTGGGATTCTGCTGAGGCCAGCCGCTACGCCAAGAACGGACACATCTACATCCCGATCAACCACTTCAACATTGAGCTCTCTCGCGTCGTTGGTTTCGCGCTCAAGGGTTTCCACACCACTGAGTCCGTCACTCTCTCCGTCATTGAGATCGTATCCTCGGTTCCCGCTGGCACCACGATCCCCAAGAAGGATGAGACTGGTAACCTGGTTTTCGCCTGCAAGCGCCCCAACTCCTTCGCTTTCGCCATCGATGACGGTCAACCCGACCTTGCCCAGGAGGTTCTCAAGATCATCCGCGAGGAAGACGTCAAGGTCACCTTCTTCACCGTCGGTGCTCCCCTTCTCGACGCCTCCACCAACTTGACCAACGTCTACAAGGAGATGATGGCCGCCGGTCACCAACTCGCTCTCCACTCTTTCACTCACCCCAAGATGGAGGGTCTTCCTGACTACGCATCCATCGACTGGGAGTACAACGAGGACGTCAAGGCCATGAAGTCTCAGTTCAACGGCTACACCTCCACCTACTTCCGTCCTCCCTTCGGTAATGAGGGTGCCCGCATGCGTTCGCGTCTCACAAAGGCTGTTGGCAACACTGCCAGCATTGTCAACTGGAGCGTCGATGTAGAGGACTGGTTGTGGGCTGAGACCGACACCCCTGAGCAACAGAAAGTCGCTTTCCAGCGTGACGTTGACAAGGGTGGTAACCTCGTGGTTCTCCACTACCTCTACCCCAGCACTGTCAGCTACCTCAGGGAGTTCATCCAGATTGCTAAGGCTACCGGCAAGCAGCTTATGCGTGTCGACCAGTGCATGATGGACCCTAACGCTCCTCCTCTATAGATTCGCAATCTTTAGTGCAAGTTGGAGTGGTGTTGAGGTGTTTGGGGGAGTGATACCCGGAGATGAGGGCGTTGTTGCATGTAGAGTGAAGATGCGTTTAGCATAGTTTGTTAATCGTAATTACATCGTTGAGAATGACTTCGTCTCCCGACTGCTAGTGCCTTGTGACCCCGTTGTTCCACCGATATACCAACATCTTCCGCTTCCCCACTGCAGCTGAGATTACTGGTTTCATCACTGTGCGTAAGCTGACGGTTCCAAGCCCAGGGTCCCAAGCACCTTGGGAAGAGAGTGAGCTCGCTGAGGGCCGATAAGCCCCACACCATCCTAAGCTTACCTACCTCACCCACGGGCATGTTTTGCAAATCTCCGGAACCCGACGGCGCTATAACACATTCTAGGTAATCTCGCTGGTGTACCTGCCAGTCTCCAAGCGTCCTGGAGATGGTCGTGGTATGTCTGGGCCATTCCCCAGACGACAGTCCTTGGAAGACCTGTACCTTAGGAATGTTTTGAGGGAACTAAAGGTAAGTTTCAGCGATCTGCACTCCGAACCTGATCTACCACAGCACCGAAAAAAAAAATGATTGTGTCAGATTATGACGCCATTTACATGATGGACCGCAGCGGTCCGGCCGCTGGACCACTTGAATGAGCATGGCCGTTAGGCGAGAAAGCGAGAACTCTAACAATTCACGGAACTAGCTATGTACAGGAGCTCGCACAAAGACGCAAGGTCGGAAAGCAGTGACATCAATCTTTATCGAAGACGGCTACGTACGTGTTTCGCGGAACTGCGGCTCTGATAGATGCCGACGCTTAAACCTTCACTTTCTATTCTACAACCAGCACATTTCGATGCATCTTCATCACGATTCATACTCATGACGCTGCAATCGACTCACTTCATTTCTCTGGTTGTACTCCGAATCCTTGATCAGGTCGTCGCATCTTCTCCATGAGATGATCCGCATTGCCGTCCAGAAAGGCCATCGTGCACACATTATGTACTCTACATTCTGACTCCTTTCGAAACCGCCTCAGCTTTCTTACGCTGACGCTCATCCTCTGCCTCCTTGGCCTCTTTCTGGATAATGTCGATATCCTCAGGGTGCCTCTGGATCTGCGCCCTGATAATGCCAATCTGAGAGCTGATAGTAACAGCTTGATTGTCGTGAAGGTAGGTGACAGACTGGAGCGCCTTTGCTGTGCGACAATGAGCGGCTTTCTCTTGGGCGAGTTCCGCTTCGAGGCGAGCGACTGGATCGTCTGCGTTGTTGGGGAGAGACATCGTGAATCGTGAAGCTTGGTGTTGGTATTAGCGATCGCTTCTGAATGGAGTGCTAATAGGAGAGGTACGTGGGGTTTTGCGCGGGGTCTGAGCAGCGGTGACCGACTCGTCGCTGGCAAGAGAGATCGCGGTACTTCAGCAATTGAGGCAAACGACGAGGTGGCCGAGAACAGCGAGAGAAGTTGGGTGTGCGGACTCTGCTTGCGGTGTACCGAGGTAAGGCTCTTTGATCTTACTAGTGAGGTGTAGACCTGTCTATTTGTTTGCTTGCTTGCTTGCTTGCTTGCAGGTGCGATCTAAATATACGAGTGAAGGAGCATCCGGAGGTCGCATACGCATCGTCCGCGCTACATTACTAGGCATCCACCGCCGTCCGCGCAACTTTGCAAGCATTTCTCACATGAGCATTCGCGAGACATACGATGCCGAACATGTCTGAGCTCAAGACTTTCTCAACACCACTCCATCGTCAGGCCGATATCAAGGAGCTCAAAAACGTCGGCTATGAAAATCGCTGGCGGCATACGCGAGTGCAAGATGAGATAGCTCGAATTAGAAGCAATCTCCTAGACTGTGAGAAAGCGTTTTCTGGATGAGATGGACAGCAGATATATCGAAGACAGGATAAAGAAACAGAGATACCGATGCTGGAGGAAACTCATGAGACTATCACGTACGTCCGCACTAATCAAGTGTAGTGTAAGACGCTCCTTCGACGTCACATTCCCTGTCTGGAGAACACAGCAAAGATGCTTGAACACGGCAGGTACACCAACTCAGACACATTGCGACCTACTCATACATGGGGTAAATGATATGGAAAAACGGGCAGTCGATGAGAACATGTCAAATAACGATGGCAATAACGAGATGTGATGGGGTGAGAAGGAAAGCCAAAAGCACTAGCCTAAGCATTTGGGCTCAGTAATCCAGGATGGGGATTGAGCGAGGAAAAGACGTGTCATGGTGTTTGCTACAGAACTCGAAGGAGATACATGTGATTAATGGATACGAATAGGCTTATGAAATCCTGCTTTCCACACCACGGTCTGTGTGACCACAGATGTATCAAATTTCGCGATGCTTATCAAGACAACGACCCTACAATGCCACAGCAGAGTATGGACGAGATTAAGCAACAGTCTACCTAGGGAGTCGAAGCTCTCGGCGCTACAGCAAAGAGCTTGTTGAACATGTTCTGTGGGTCGTACTTGGCCTTCAACTCTTGCAGGCGCTCGTAGTTGTTACCGAAAACGTCCCTAGACTTTTCTTCATATTCTGTCTAATGTCAGCATGTCTCTTAAGAGCGATGAATGTAGGATAATAGACTGTAGCAGATACTTACGATCGTAGTTGCCATACACCATCGTCGCTCCATGACTGCCTCTTTTTCCAATCCACCCGTCCTTGTTCTCGCTTGTCTCCGCGCCGCTACGCTGGAGTTCCTTCTTGAACAACAGCGCCACGTCTCTTGACCACTGTCTACACTTTGGGTCATTCTTCTCGTCCCACCACAACGGTGCAACAGCTACATTGAAATGTCGTCCGCGGTTCGCGAAGGCGGTGTCAGAGTTGGTGACTGCAACAAGCTTGGCTGGATCTACCAGCTCCCACATGATCTGGGAACCCATCGCATCAGGTATCTCGTCAGTAAACTTGGCATACGCTTCCATAACAGACACAACGAAGTCGCCTCGAACCGGAAGCTCAAACCCAGCGCCTTTAATTGAGACACGTGCGCCGATAGGAAGGTCCATCAATTTGTTCGCCTTGGCGTAGGGCATCGTTGCCATGGTGCTCATCAGAGGCTCGAGTGCGACGATATCCTTGAAAAGCTCTTTGCCGTCTTCTTCGGATCCATGGTACAACGCTGCAACGAAAAACAAGACCTGGCCGCCAGCAGGTGGAGGCCTGACGAAGCCGAAAGCACTCGCAGCTTTGCCAGTCGCCTTTGAGTTGCCATCTGCATCAGGTGTGAAGATATCATTGCAAGCTTCTACAGCCTTCTTGATGATGTCCGGTGTTGGCGCAAACATCATGAAGCCGGCCCACAGGTCTCCTGTTTCGTGGGTACGGAATTCGAATTCAACGCCGACGCCAAAGTTCTGTCCTGCACCACGCAGAGCCCAGAAAAGGTCTTGGTACTGGTCATTAGAGGCTTTGACAATGCTGCCGTCCGCCAAGACGACAGTACAAGAAATGAGGTTGTCAACAACCAAGCCGTGTTTGACTGTGAGCCAGCCATAGCCGCCCCCAAATGTGAGACCACCGACGCCGGTATCCGAGACGGTGCCGCCGACCGTTGCAAGGCCATAGGGTGCGAGAGCTTCGTCAACATCACCCCATACCGCACCTCCACCAACTTTGATGGTCTTTCCCTCAACATCGACCTCAGTGGTTCGCATGTACGTATTTAGATCGATGAGTAGTCCACCGTCCGTTGACGACGCGCCAGCAGTAGAATGGCCGCCTCCCTTCACAGCAATATCTAGACCCTGTTTCGATGCATATTTTAGCGTAATCGAAATTGCTTCTGCAGATTTTGGGATGAGACATGCTCCCGCGGGTTTCTCGGCGGCCTTTGACCAGCGTCGTACAGATTTCGTGTATGCTTCAGTTTCCTTCGATGTCACCAACTGTGCGTCAGTATCTTTGAGCAAGCCTCGAAGCCTTGCGACATCTGCTTCATTGATCGAGCGTTTGGCTGCCATCTTGAGATGGTCTGAGGTCGAATATGGTTGCGATTAGATAAGACGACGACCAGATGAAGATGCAAGATGCATACTTATACCATCGAATCTAATGGTACGCATACGCCGAGCAGTAATCTAAATAGTCTGGTCTTGAACAGTCCAGAGCGCGTCGATGCGGTTTGGGGCGTAAGCTTACCAACAAAGCAGCCGTCAGCAAAGTAGAGACATGGCGAATGGCTGACACCGACGCTCAGTTAGTGTTTAGGCTAGCAGCGCCGTCCGCTTTGGCAAGAAGCTGAAATAAAATAGTCTTGATGACTGGATGCTCTCCATAACGTCGGACGGAACTTCGTCCACACGTTTAGTCAACCACGATTGGTTGTGGTTCCTATCCTGATCTCTCATGATCTGAAACATGTGAGCTGTTCTTGCGCGTAATACTCGGCTGGCGTTCAATCTATCGGCAAAGCTATATCATACATCCTCACACCCGGTGGCCTAGCTGTCAATGCAGCGCGCTCAGAAGGTATATCATCCCCATTCTGATGTGTGATTTGAATTAGCGTCATCGGTAGGTTGCGATGCACGAAGCTTCAATTCGGTGCAGTAATAACCGAGATCTAGTAAGCACGCTTTCTGTAAAGGTTGAGCGAGGTGAGGATCATGAAGGTACGCATGAAGGACGAAATGGATGTCAAGAGTGGCAGGGGGCCCAGTTCTGCCAATCGCGGAGTGTTCCGCAGAGATGACGCGCATTTGTGGGGTAGCAAACAGATCGGCAAACCTTGTTTCGTCGCGTCATTGTGTTCGCTACACGCGTCTCTTCCTGTCTTCTCCTCTCAAACTCCTCTGTTGCATTAGGCATCGTATCCATTCTTTGACTTTGCTGTGTTGTTTTGCTCTTGTCGCCTCATAATCATGGCATTTCACTGTGTACGATACCGATAATTCCAAAGTTTTGTACTACCTAGGTATCCCCACCCGCGAAACTCCCTCAAAGATTTCGCAAATGATCAACGGCCTCTCGCACGCCCATCACGCATGATTATGCGATGCGAATATGTTCTGCCTTGATCATGGATATACACAATACTGCAATGCAAGCTTCGTACGCCTCCAGGTTCGCGCGTTGTAGGTCAGCTCAGCGTAAGGATATGACCCGACCGGAGCTTTCTGTTTGTATCTATCATACGCGGGCTGACCATGACCGATGGATGCTTAGAATGCGTTGAATATGAGAGCATTATACATATGTTCCTGATGGCGGGCTAGGAGTCTAGAACGGAGCCATGGCTGTGCAAAGACGATGTCTTCCCACACAATTCATGCTTCGAGCGTCTGTCGAAATGCTGCTAGTCTCTCCAGAAATAGTAAGTATGATTCGATTCATGCAGGCATCTTTTCATCGCACAGCGTTATGTACGCGAGATAGACACGATCTTTTCAGGCCTTCATCATGTCCGTCTATTCATCATTCTTTTTCCCCATCAATACTGTGTGTAACTCGGCGTACGCTGTCGTTCTAGAATGACTTTACGATTTGGAGCATTTCATATCGTGTCAAGGACAATGCACAGCCAGCCTAGGAAAGCCAGATTCAAACTGATCTCCAGATTTTCTTTTGGCATCCATTGGCGACCATCACTTTACTGTATGTTCCAGTCAATGTCCAAGAGGCAGCAGGACTACGTGTATGGTGACATCGTCTCCGTAATTCTAGAATCATGCCGCAAGCTTTTGCAGACCTGCCTCCAGTCAGCTGTTTTGCGACGCCTTCACCAAGACAAATTTACTTTACGCACCACTACAGGAGGCTTACTCGATCGATCCCCCGAATTAAGATTTTTACCATAGCATTTACCATAAGTCGGAGAGACAGAGCTTACTGCTATCTGCATATTGCAATTTCGAGGGCCGCATGCCGCCTCTACCCACCGTTGCCTACATCATCTCAACCAGACTTCCGACTTATCGCTTCCGCTCGCAACAACGAACCATCATAGCATTACTGGCGACTCAGAAGGCACATCGGATCGTTTCGCGACCCAGGGACATCTACGCATGACGTTGAACCTCGCAGTCCTATCTCAGCGTTCTAACTATCTTCACCTTCACCCAACGCGCCCGACTCGATATTCACTGCGAATTCGGCTATAATATTGAGACTAGCACCAAGGCTACAGTCGTTCCTACCTCTACTCGCATTTCCATCACAGCTACATATCGCACCTTGTCTACTCGCCAAATCACTTTCTTGCGATACCATAGCAAACATTGCACATTATTCTGCCGCACTTGGTCGCGCAT